AACAAACTCACAACAGATGCAGCGTCGGGCAGAGAGAGAGACGTGTCCGTGCCACAGAAATGCCACAAGCGCAGAACAAGCAGAAGACGAGAGTTATCGAAGAGAAACCCAGAATGCAGTTTTCATTCTCCGTCTGGTCGCTGCAGATCTCACTGTTTAATCTCCACTTGTTCTGCTTTGGTTCCAGTTCAAGACGAGAGCCCGGGACCATCTCAAACAATTATTTTTTTTCCTTTCTTTTCTTTTCAAAGGGCCACGGTCTCTGGGCTGAAAAACCCTAAAAACCAACTTTTGACTTTCAACGCAATTATCTGTTTTATTAATAGCTTTTGAAACCGACTGCTAAATGTCTTACATCTCATCACTAATTCTGAAAAGGACTAGAAAACAACCAGATTTAAAGCTGGGGTACCTAACTTTCGAAACCAAAGAACCTAAAGTGCCGGTATGTGTTGTATGCCTGTTAGCACCGTGAGCCAAAGCAAATTCCTAGTTTGTGTCTCCCTATTACTTATAATGCCAGAAGAAGAGGAAGAAGAAGGAGAAGAAGAAGCAGAAGCAGAATAATCTGAAGAAGAGGAAGAAGAAGCAGAAGTAGAAGTAGAAGAAGAAGAAGAAGAAGCAGAAGTAGAAGTAGAAGTAGAAGTAGAAGAAGAAGAGGAAGAAGAAGCAGAAGTAGAAGTAGAAGAAGAAGAAGAAGAAGCAGAAGTAGAAGTAGAAGTAGAAGTAGAAGAAGAAGAGGAAGAAGAAGCAGAAGTAGAAGAAGAAGAAGAAGAAGAAGAAGTAGAAGTAGAAGAAGAAGAAGAAGAAGAAGAAGAAGAAGAAGAAGAAGCAGAAGCAGAAGTAGAAGTAGAAGAAGAAGAAGCAGAAGTAGAAGTAGAAGTAGAAGTAGAAGTAGAAGAAGAAGTAGAAGAAGAAGAAGAAGAAGCTGAAGAAGTAGAAGAAGAAAAAGAAGAAGCTGAAGAAGAAGAAGAAGAATCAGAAGCAGAAGTAGTAGAAGAAGAAGAAGAAGCAGAAGAATCTGAAGAAGAGGAAGAAGAAGCAGAAGTAGAAGTAGAAGAAGAAGAAGAAGAAGCAGAAGTAGAAGAAGAAGTAGAAGAAGAAGAAGAAGAAGCTGAAGAAGTAGAAGAAGAAAAAGAAGAAGCTGAAGAAGAAGAAGAAGAATCAGAAGCAGAAGTAGTAGAAGAAGAAGAAGAAGCAGAAGAATCTGAAGAAGAGGAAGAAGAAGCAGAAGTAGAAGTAGAAGAAGAAGAAGAAGAAGTAGAAGTAGAAGAAGAAGAAAAAGAAGAAGCTGAAGAAGAAGAAGAAGAAGAAGAAGAAGAAGCAGACGCAGAAGAATCTGAAGAAGAGGAAGAAGAAGCAGAAGCCGAAGTAGAAGAAGAAGAAGAAGAAAAAGAAGCAGAAGTAGAAGTAGAAGAAGAAGAAGAAGCGGAAGAAAAAGAAGAAGTAGAGGAAGAAAAAGAAGAAGCTGAAGAACAAGAAGAAGAAGAAGAAGAAGATGCAGAAGAATCTGAAGAAGAGGAAGAAGAAGCAGAAGCAGAAGCAGAAGAAGAAGAAGAAGAAGAAGAAGAAAAAGAAGCAGAAGTAGAAATAGAAGAAGAAGAAGAAGCAAAAGCAGAAGTAGTAGAAGAAGAAGAAAAGAAGAAGAATAAGAAGAAGGAGGAGGTGGTTCAGGTGTGGTGCAGAGGTGTTACAGCTACAAAGAATTTATTTTCAGTAATTTTCTCCTATTTCTTTAGTATTTTTTCCCCTACAATGTAATTATGAAATGGATGAGCATATCCGACTGGACACTTGTGTTCCACGGCTCATTTTGTATTTCTGGTTATTTTTACATCATTTCCATGGTCAAAGCGCCGCCACAGCCCTGACTCCTCCGGTGGAAACTGCTCTTAACGTCGTCTGCTGCAGCTGCAAAGACTGAAGTGTTTATCCGAGTTAAAAGAGCTGCTTTAAGAAGTCCTCTCCGTCTCCTCGGCCGTGAGTGGCCCGAGCGTGTGGGTCGTATATGGTTCTCATTTGATCCCTCACATCTGGACCACCTGTTTCCAATCGGCCCGTCCACTGCCACACTTTCTCACGTCCTCTTCCTCTGCTCTCTCATTCACACAGACTGTTTGTTATGTTTCCTACAGGTATAAGACGCAGCCGTGGAATGATTTTAGACTTCATTAAGAGTCAGAGGAAAGAAAACACGGCCCGGTTTTTCCAGATATCGGCTTAATTTTGGCACCTTTTGCTGTTCGAACGAACGGCGGGAAATGGGTTCAGCATGTGTGAGATTAAAGAGATGAGTAATGTCTCCTTGTTCAACTCTTAGCCTGGAAATGAACGGAAAAAATCAGAGGTCGGACGTGAGGAACAGCGAGCTCAGAGAGATCTAACAAAGTGATGAAATGTGAGAACGGTCTGACGGGAGAAGCTACACATGATATTAAAGTCTGTAAGAACGGTCTGACGAGAGAAGCTACACATGATATTAAAGTCTGTAAGAACTGTCTGACGAGAGAAGCTACACATGATGTTAAAGTCTGTCTGTAAGAACAGTCTGACGAGAGAAGCTACACATGATATTAAAGTCTGTAAGAACTGTCTGACGAGAGAAGCTACACATGATATTAAAGTCTGTCTGTAAGAACTGTCTGACGAGAGAAGCTACACATGATATTAAAGTCTGTCTGTAAGAACTGTCTGACGAGAGAAGCTACACATGATATTAAAGTCTGTAAGAACGGTCTGACGAGAGAAGCTACACATGATATTAAAGTCTGTCTGTAAGAACTGTCTGACGAGAGAAGCTACACATGATATTAAAGTCTGTAAGAATACAGGTCCAAAGTTATTTTTATCACAAATATTGATATGTGCAATAATATACAGGGATACATATGGATATTTTTAATGCTTTGGAGTATTCCAGGTGGCCGTACTTGCATACAAAAGCCAGACTCTGTCAGCCCTCTGAAGCTAAGCAGAGTAGGGCCTGGTTAGCACTGTGATGGGGGACCTCTAAGAACACCAGGTGCCACAGTGCGGCGCCTTCGGCTCCTTAGGCAAGACACTACACACACATTGTCTAGGACTATAGTGTGTGTGTGTGTGTGTGTGTGTGTGTGTGTGTGTGTGTGTGTGTGGCTGGTGATTGCCTTGTTTCTGTCAGTGTGCCCCAGGGCAGCTATAGCTACTGTAGTAGTTTATCACCACCGTGTTTGGAGAGAAAGAATAAAGTGAAATGTCTTTGAGTGCATACATGTATATTTCGTAAAAAGTGGTCAATACCAAACACTTGTATACATGTTCTTCTTTGTTATGTTATAATAATAGGGAATTTTATACTGATGATTTGTATATATAGGCAAGGAGCGCTGGTGTGTACTATCTTCTTGCAGTTTTTCCAATGTGGTTTTACTGCAAATGGTAAATAAATCTTGAATCTTGAATATAGGGAAAAAAAACTGAACAGAATTTGCCCAAAATAATTATAAAAATACATGCTGGTGTCTTACAGTTAATATTATCCACGTAACTTTTCAGACCCCAACGCGACCTGAAGCGTTGGGGTTGAAATGGCTTTTGGATTGGAAGGACTGTGGGACTGTGGGACTTGATAAGAAATCTTAAATTCACATATAAACACATAGACCGATAATGTATATCAAAATATACACTTTATTGTTACATGCGTCGCTGCTTCAGGTGACACGGTCCAAACATCAGTGAATCATGTTTTCTCTACTTTATTTCCCTCACATAAAAGTTTAGCTAGGACACAAACAATAATAAGAAGTAGGATTAATTAAATTCACCGCAGGCCAGAGAATCTCCAGTTGGACTTTCAATACACTTTTCATATCAAAACTCAACACTAGTAGAATTGACATTGCAGATTGGGGCTGGCAAATATATCCAACAATATAACACAACTCTTCAAAACACAAAAATAACATAACGACAAATAAATACAAACACATCAATATGAGAATAGTACCTGACTATCGCAGAATGTGGTCCGTTACGTAATAAGTTTGCAAATATTTAATAACAGGAAAAGAACATGCACAGGATGACATGCCCACATGGTCCCTTTCTCATGCACACACACACATACACACACGTATACGCGCACACACAAACACATACACACACACGTATATACGCACACGCACACGCACACACGTATATACACTCACACACACATACACGCATATACACACACACATATACACACACACACACATACACACACACGTATATACGCACACACATACACACGTATATACTCGCACACACATATACGTACACGCATATATACGCACACACACTCACACACACACCATGGGTAACTCATATGCACACACTTATTAGACACACAGACACATGCTCACACATCATGGGTAACTCATATGCATACACACTTATGCACACACACATACACTTACAGTATGCACACACACACACACACACAGACACATGCAAGCACACACTCATGCAAACACACACACACACACAAACATTGGTCACTGTTCAACCAGCCGAAGTACATAACAAAAAGCAGTACTTATGATCAGGAATGTATTTTTATAAGTTAGAGCAGGGGTCTCCAACCTGTCGTTCAGGAGCTACCAGTAGCTCGCCACCCCCTTTCAAGTAGCTCCCCAAAGGATTCAAGAATTTAACACATGATCCTGAGTCATAACAACTATTCTAACTATCATTGTTTCCATTAATGCAGGGATACAGTACGGTATATTACGCATATGGATTCTCCATGATTAGCTGTAGTTATTATAAAGACTACAATTGGATTACGACTGTTAAAAGGAGTAGCTCTCTGCCATTTCTGTTTTACAAAAGTTGCTCTCCAATTGAAAAAGGTTGGAGACCCCTGAGTTAGAGTATAAGGCACCAGTTGGGGTCCATTGTCTGCTTGGTAATTACGTCTGCAATGCAATTTATGTCACTTAAGTCATGTGCAAAAAGGTCCCAAATCCACCATGTTGTCAAACGGCCACCCACAAGATAGAAATGTTAGTTCCACCTTCGTGAGTGACGTGGTTCACTCTCCCTCGTATGCAGTCCAGAGTGGCGTAGATAGCCGTACCGTTCTGCACCGAAAACGAGGCCCGGAGCCCGACCGTGGCCCACTCGCTTCCTTCAGGCATGTGCCCAGACACCTGCTGAGCCACAGGTCCTGGACTACCCTGGTCCGGACCCCCTACTCTCTGTAACGTCAGCTTCACCACGTTACAAGAGTGGATTAGCTTCAGATTCAAAGCGACGTTAGCCGTGCCCCTCTGGTGGAAGACAAAGTTTTTTCGGCTGTTGGGTTCTCCGGATCGCGCCAACTGGACTTGAGGGACATCTTCGCTCGTCTGGTCAAAAAGCAATGGTTTATTCCTGACTGCTCCAGATGGAAGGCCGGTTTTCACCACGGTAGCGGTTAATGCCGAAGACAGCGCGGACGGAATCCAGATTAAACTCAAGATACTGATCCCGGTTCCATCGCCAAAGTAGCGGATGTTGCACTGCGAAGGCGAGGTGATTTCGAAGCTCAACGTATCGCCGCCTTCGATCGCAGCGACTCCAGAGAGCGTGATGGACGTGTCTCGGTAGTTGACCCCAGTCTTGAAGGCCTGCGTGGTCTCGAGGCTGGTCCCGTTGCGGTTCGTAAAGGCGATCAATGAGAATCCCTCTTTGACGCACGTGTGGCCCATGGAGTAGAGCGCCTGCTGCAGCACGAACTTGACCGAGCCGCGTTCCGTGAAGCGAATCCCGCGGCTGTCGTGGGTCAAGCTGATCATGTAAGGGTCGGAGACTGAGGCCACGCGGAAAGTCGGTCGGTAGCTTGTCTGGTAGTGCGGGTGGAGCGACATCTGCGCGGACATTGCTACAGCTCCGGTGTCGTGGGACAGCCAGAGCAAGCTGAACGTGGGGGCCGAGATGTCGTACACGTGGATGTCTTTGCTTCGGTTGCAGTGGTTGTTCGGACTCTTAAGAAGAAGCGCAAAGGTGTGATTGGGTTCCACTTCCATCCCGCTGCTCATGCTAACCCCTTGGAAGTATTTACCGTCCGGCTGCTCGATCCTAACCCCGCTGAGGTCTTGTCCCTCTTCCTCTTGGCTTCCGTTGAGTCTCATTCCCAGTTGTAGGAAGTTCCTGCAGGTGTGTTTGACGGCAAAGTTGTAATCCATCCACACAAGGCCGTGCTGCTGGAAGACTAGCCTACCTGCTTCGTTGGATAAAAGCTGGCTTGTGTCTTTGCTACGGACAATCAGCTGGAGTCCAGGGAAGATCTTTGCGTCAGGGTTGCGGGAAGAGGGCAGGGTCACGGTGGACGCCCAGGACTGGGACAGCTGACTCTCCATAGACTGGCCACACACAGCGTCAGTCACACCTGAACACAAAACAGTGATTGTTTCTCCCACGCAGTCGGAGCAGGCCTGGCACTCCTGCAGCTCCTGGTTGTAGAAGTATTCCTGACCACACAGACCCAGCAGAGCCTCCCGCTCAGAGACGCCCAGACATCTGAAGCCCCCTGGACAAGCGAAGAGCAGACAGGAAGCGTCAGGACAAGGCCAGACAGGAAACGGCCAGACAGGAAACGGCCAGACAGGAAACGGCTTATGTAACTGTGCTGGAATTTGTGATGGAGAGTTCACTACGTCTATATACAGTGACGTGTTTATAAACTCTGAGATAACACTTCAATAGCGGTGAGTCTGATCGTCATCGTACCTGGTGTGTTGAGGCACTTTACTCTTTCTCCACAAATGTTGGGAACTTCCAGACACTCATCTCTGTCCTATGAAAACAAAACAGTTATAGTTAGATTTGTGAAGGACAGACTGTGTCTAAACACTGGCTCCATCTCAGCAAAACTAATGTGTTTTATTTATCATTGTTGTGTATTTTTTCTGGAAACACATTAAACTGACTGTACTGTGGAGGCTGACACACCTGGCACATGCGGTCGGCGGTGGGGGAACACTGAGAGATTAGGAAGAAGCCTGGGGGGCACATGGTGCAGCTCTCACACTGAGGAGGGTCCTTCTGGAAGTCACAGAAGTGCTCTGTCCCACAGGGAGAGGGGCAGCCGAGCAGAGGCTGGGGGAAGTGGGCTTCTCCCACCACATCCATGCCCTTGGAGTCCAGGTCCATCTTGTGCACCGCGTAGGACTTGTGCAGGTGGTTGCGGGCCTGGCTCTGCAGTCCTGAGAGCTGGCTCTCTAGGTAGCTCTGCAGCTCCCCCTGCAGGCCCTGGAAGGACGCCTGCTTCACTGTTTCAGACAACATCTCGTATTGGGCCTTGACCCCATCCATCTGTTGGTACATGCGGCGCTGCTGCTCCAGGATGTCCCTCTGCTGAGACAAGAGTGCATCCTGTTGTTCCACCAACTTCTGCTGCAGGTCCTTCACCACGGCCTGCTGCGCCCGCAGAGCCTCCACCAGCGTCTCCTGGCCTTTGGAGAGCTGCAGGTGCAGGATGAGAGCATCTTCAGACGGGACCTCGTTCTCCCCTGAAAACACACACAGCTCATTAATCTCCAGTGTAATCAAAGACATGTGCCATAAAGAAACACATGAATGTAACACTTAGACTATTGTCAAGAAAACAGGACAATGCAATTCCTTTTTAGGCTGTAACACATTTGTTTTCTGTTAGGAAAACCTGTAAACACCACAGACTTTAAAGACGCATAAACAAAGCCTTTTTTCTGCAGAACATCTTTCCCACTTCATCTGGAGCCTTTGTTATTTGGAGGTCAAACACGCCTATGTGTTTCATTACAATAGTCTTTGATCTGCAGTGATGGAGACTTATGCCACACGTCATTCGAACCAGTCAGCAGAGGTTAGGTTTTCTGCAGCTACTCCTGTTACATTTTTACAGTGCGCTCTTTTACAGCGCTCCCCAGAGGCTGTAAAAATCTGCATCCTCAATAAAGCAGTCGTCTCGCCTGCTTCACGTCACACATCAAACTTTTCTTTCTCTGGATCATATTGAAAACAGACCTGGCTTGATGTCACACGTGAGCTGGACTCCCAACGGCGCACCGCCAAGTTCTGGAGCAGGGAACCCAAACTCAGGGAAGTCGCCGAGGAACTGCGCGGCTCTGTCGGACACATGTACGGGGGGACCGGGCTCTCTCTCCTCCGGGGTCCTGGCTCTGGCTCTCGGTCGTACCCTGAGCGGCAGTCTGCACTCTACGCCTCGGCATTCACGCGTCTGGTTATCGGGGGATGCATGCACGACTTTCTGGTGCAGTTGGCATTGATCCCCAGCAGCGCAGGCGGGGGTCTGGGGCTGGAGGTGGCGCGGGGGTCTGGATGTCCTGCCTCCCGGACAGTGGGGGCCGGTGCATGGCCGTGGGTCGCCTGTGTCCTCGCAGTGGGCTCCTCTACAGTTGTCTGCAGTGGCTCGGCACAGTGACATCCAGCTCAGCAGCAACAACTGTGGCACCAAGCGCATTTTGAGCACTTTAAATCCCCCCAAGCGCCAAAAGCACTGAGTCTAGATCCACAACCGGAGCATGATGGAAGTTACTGAGAGTGAGAGGACTTCAGACGGAGCACTGGACCCTCTCCTCCTCCTCCCCTCTCTCTCTCTCTTCTCTGTCTCTTTCCCTCTCTCTCTGTGTCTCGCTCTCTCTCTCCCTCCTCCTCCTCTGTCTGTCTATGTCTCTCTCTCCCTCTCTCTTTTTTGTCTCTATCTTAATTTCTCCTTTTCTCTCACGCACTCTCTCTCTCCCTCTCCTACTTTCTCTCTCTCCCTCGCTTCCTCTCTCTCCTAATCCCTCTCTCTCTCTCCTACACTCACACTCTCTCTCTCTTTCACTCTCCCCCCCTCTCTCTCCTACACCCTCTCTCTCTCTCTCTCTCTCCCTACCTTCCTCTTCCCCCCTCCCTCTCTCTCTCCCTTCCTCTTTCCCCCTCTCTCTCTCCCTCCCCCCCCCCTCTCTCTCCTACACCCTATCTCTCTCTCTCTCTCTCTCCCTACCTTCCTCTTCCCCCCTCCCTCTCTCTCTCCCTTCCTCTTCCCCCCTCTCTCTCTCCCTCCCTCTCCCTCCCCCTTCTCTCTTCTACACTCACTCCCTCTCTCTGTCTCTTTCTCTCTCCAACGCTCTCTGTCTTCTTCCCCCCCTCTCTCTCTCTCGCTCCCTCTCCCCCTCTCTCTCCTACACCCACTCTCTCCCTCTCTCTCTCTCTCTCCCTACCTTCCTCTTCCCCCCTCCCTCTCTCTCTCCCTCCTTCTCCCTCCCCCTTCTCTCTTCTACACTCACTCCCTCTCTCTCTCTCTTTCTCTCTCCAACGCTCTCTGTCTTCTTCCCCCCTCTCTCTCTCTCGCTCCCTCTCCCCCCTCTCTCTCCTACACCCACTCTCTCCCTCTCTCTCTCTCTCTCCCTCCCTTCCCCCTCTCTCTCTCTCCCCCATCTCTCCCCTACACTCACTCTCTCCCTCTCCCCCCTCTCTCTCCTACACCCACTCTCTCCCTCTCTCTCTCTCTCTCCCTCCCTTCCCCCTCTCTCTCTCTCCCCCATCTCTCCCCTACACTCACTCTCTCTCTCTCCCTCCCTTCCCCCTCTCTCTCTCCTACTCTCTCTCTCTCCCGTCTCTCCCCTACACTCACTCTCTCTCTCCCTCCCTTCCCCCTCTCTCTCTCCTACTCTCTCTCTCTCTCCCCCATCTCTCCCCTACACTCACTCTCTCTCTCCCTCTCTCCCTCCTCCCCCCCTCTCTCTAATGTCAGTTTTCTGGCATTCCAGCTCAGACTTAATTAGCATCAGGTTTCCTCGGCCACACATTAACCCTTCCACCGTCCCCCCTCCGTCTTCTCTCTCATCGTTGGGCAAAGATCTCAAAACCATCTGCTCCGAAACCTTCTCCTTTCTCTCGTGGAGTCCGTGAAAACCCAGATGACACAAAGATGCATTATTTCAAAGATAATTCAATATGTGGCTGAGTTAAAATGCAAATCTGTTCTAATCTCCAGATACAGAGAGATGTAGAGTCTCACACTGCTGATGGTTAAATGTGCATTGAGTAATAATAATAATAATAGTAATATCAATGCATCAGTTTTATAAAGTGCTTTTCTGGGCTCCTAACGACACTTCATGAGGCATTATTTATATCTTCATACATAGCAGATATGAATAACTATAAACATCTACTCCTCAGCTGCCCTCCCGACCTCCACCAACCACCCACACAGACCCCAGACTTACAGACCATGTGGGAGATGAGGAAGAAGCCTGAGGGGTTCTCACACAGTCACAGAAGTGCACCGTCCCACAGGGAGAGGGGCAGCGAGCAGAGGCTGGTCCCACCACGTCCAGGTCCTCAAGAGTCCAGGTCCATCTCGAGCACAAACTGAGCCAAACTGACATTGTGTCTGGCCCAAAGAATCAATCAGAGTCTGGCACTTTACAGCCGCAGCCGCAGCCGCCCCACTGTGACAAGTGTTCCCAGAGGTCTCCCATCTCAGAGGTCTCCCATCTCAGTACAAGCCCATGTCCTGCTTAGCTTCTCAGATAGGATGGGATATGACTTTCATGTAACAGGTTTTCTATCCGATTTGATCAGAACAATACACTTTAATGATGTGCTTGCGGTACATTAGGAGTTTATTATTCTCAATTAGCAAATAACTTATTATAATAACCCAATATGCATCCCTACTTTAAGCTTAATAACTTAATAACTTAAAATTTCTCCTTGTGGATTTTATAAGGGGTCTATCTCCACAAACGCCATCTGCCCACTTTCCAATGTGAGGCTAATAAATCCTTCTATATCCCTGGATAATCTCCTAAAGTATGTTTTAATCTGCTGTTGCTGGACTTTAATAGTATCGCTAGCTACTTTTTAAAATTTCTCCTACGGGGGATCAATAAAATATCTATCTATCAATTAAAAAGTCACCACGCAGAGGTTGTTACAAAATCATTATCAAAACCTTGTTATTGTTACTGCTGGTATACAGTATATTGGCTGCATGTGGGCAGGTATAAAGAATAATCTAATCTAATCTCTTCTACTGACACACTACCGCTCATTCTGTATCAGCTCTTTGAACACTGAAGCCAAGGAAATTACATCTCCATGGCGACGAGCCGGCATGTGACTATCTCAGAAAAGTTTCAAATACAGTACAGCCCTCCGCCCCCAAATCCAAAGCCTTTATCTGAAAGTTATTGCTTGCTTTTGGATCAGCACCTCCGTATATTGTCTGTATGGAGATTAATCCCCTACATCCTGCTCTTTTGTTTCCCCTCGGCGACTGTCACTTCTCATTTCCCCGCGTGTTGACTCGGACCTCCCTCACCTCCCTCACCTCGCTGTCTCCCCCCCGGCTTGTCAACACCAACCCCCCCCCGTGTAGCTTTACAGACAGAGCTGCAGGTCGAGCGTCTGCACAGAAGCCCAGTGAGGAGGGTGGAGGCCGGGACCTGGACCACGGATCTGCAGGGAGGAGCGAGGAGATCCGTCCACTGCGACAATTGCGGTAACTGTTTGTGTTTGGAGGTTTTTTGAAGACGGTGGTTACAACTGAAGGGGTTTGAGAGAGAACATAACATCGGCGCTGGTCGGTCTAACATAAAGTGTTTGCAGAAGTGACTGTGGCGCTGAGTTCAGAAACAGACTTCCAGACTGACGTTTCTTCTTGATATGAAGTCTGCAAAAAACTGCATAAGAATATCTCTGAAGATGCAGCGTTGTTGTGTCCTTAGGCAAGACACTCTACAGTACAGCTGAAGTAGACATGTGGTTGTAGGTACTGTATGTGGGTTTTCCTCAGGACAAAAAAAATAATATTGAATCTTCTGCGGCCAACAAGCCTACTGCACAATACTCCACACCATGACAGCTACTTGTATTGCTTTTTCATTGTCAAATATTCAGAGACTACTACACACTTCTACTGCAGACTACTACTACCGCAGACTACTACTACTGCAGACTACTACTACTGCAGACTACTACTACTGCAGACTACTACTACTGCAGACTACAACTACCGCAGACTACTACGCAGACTACTACTACCGCAGACTATTACTACTGCAGACTACTACTACTGCAGACTACTACTACCGCAGACTACTACTACTGCAGACTACTACTACTGCAGACTACTACTACTGCAGACTACTACTACTGCAGACTACTACTACTGCAGACTACAACTACCGCAGACTACTACGCAGACTACTACTACCGCAGACTATTACTACTGCAGACTACTACTACTGCAGACTACTACTACCGCAGACTACTACTACTGCAGACTATTACTACTGCAGACTACTACTACTGCAGACTACTACTACTGCAGACTACTACTACTGCAGACTACAATTACCGCAGACTGCTACGCAGACTACTACTACCGCAGACTATTACTACTGCAGACTACTACTACTGCAGACTACTACTACCGCAGACTACTACTACTGCAGACTACTACTACTGCAGACTACTACTACTGCAGACTACTACTACTGCAGACTACTACTACTGCAGACTACTACTACCGCAGACTACTACGCAGACTACTACTACCGCAGACTATTACTACTGCAGACTACTACTACTGCAGACTACTACTACCGCAGACTACTACTACTGCAGACTATTACTACTGCAGACTACTACTACTGCAGACTACTACTACTGCAGACTACTACTACTGCAGACTACTACTACTGCAGACTACTACTACTGCAGACTACTACTACTGCAGACTACTACTACTGCAGACTACTACTACTGCAGACTACTACTACTGCAGACTACTACTACTGCAGACTACTACGCAGACTACTACTACCGCAGACTATTACTACTGCAGACTACTACTACTGCAGACTACTACTACCGCAGACTACTACTACTGCAGACTACTACTACTGCAGACTACTACTACTGCAGACTACTACTACTGCAGACTACTACTACTGCAGACTACTACTACTGCAGACTACAACTACCGCAGACTACTACGCAGACTACTACTACCGCAGACTATTACTACTGCAGACTACTACTACTGCAGACTACTACTACCGCAGACTACTACTACTGCAGACTATTACTACTGCAGACTACTACTACTGCAGACTACTACTACTGCAGACTACTACTACTGCAGACTACTACTACCGCAGACTATTACTACTGCAGACTACTACTACTGCAGACTACTACTACCGCAGACTACTACTACTGCAGCCTATTACTACTGCAGACTACTACTACTGCAGATACTACTATGACATTCTCAGACTGTCAGTCAAGCTGCATAGGGAGTCAGTCCTCGTTCTACAGTCTGAATCCTGGGTCTACAGCCTCAGTCCTCGTTCTACAGTCTGAGTCCTGGATCTACAGCCCGTTCGTCCGTGTGGAGCGGATCCCTCTCTCAATATGTGGATCTCTCCGAGGTTTCTCAGTTTTTTCCCACTGGGTTTTAGAGTTTTTCCTCTGATGCAGGAGTCTTTTGGATAGTTCGTGTCTAACAAGAAGGACTGTGGTGATGAACCAGGACTTGAACATTCTACAACATGTATGGACATTATTCAACATTGGTCTCTCCTTATGGACCAATACATTTGTGTATTTTCTGTGTCTTTACTGTTGATTCTCTGATCTGTGTTGGTGATTTCAATGGTTTTTTTTAAGTCTCTGAGATTATACTGTGGTAATTTAGGGCTATACAAGAATAAATTGTATTGTATTGTACTGCAGACTATTACTACTACTACAGACTTCTACTGCAGACTTCCTCCTCGTCTGATCCTGCGTCGGATCAAAGCTGCAGCCTCAAGGTTCCCACTGTTTTTGTCATTTTCACCCAGAGTTTCATTTGAATGCCACTGAATCAAAGGTAAAGCACTGGGACCTGCGGTAGTCGCTGATGTGTTTAAGGTCTGGTCCAAAGGCAGGTCTGTGCCGGGGAAAGTGCCGGGACGATGTGGAGACAGGTTTAGAGCATTAAAGTGCTGGAGCCTCAGTGAGTGATGTGCTTGGACCAATATGCTTTTATACTGATCACATCCACAACAATGGGCAGTGTTGGAGTTGATTAGGTTCATGCTAATGCTCTATACGTACACACACACACACACACACACACACACACACACACACGCACACACTCACACATATGCGTACACACACAACCACGCACACAAACATACACTCACACTTACACACTCACATATACACACACACACACATTTACATGCACACACATACACACATACATATATACATTATTCACACACACATATACAGTATACATTCACACACACGCACACACACACACACACACACACACACACACACATTCATATGCACACACTATTGCTCTCCTCTATATTTGAACTAAAAATCGCAAGTCCCAGACCAGGAGACCAGGGGAAGACCCAGAACCTGCTGGAGGGACTGAAGGTCTCTCGGCTGGCCTGGGAACACCTCAGGATTCCCCCAGATGAGCTGAGTCTGTCCCATAGTCTGTCCTTTCTGATGCAGGAGGGTAAGGACAGTGATGACCCGGGACATTTATCAACATTCATGGACAGTGGTCATTCCCTTTCTCTATAAACCAAAACCTTCTATGTGTTTGTTATTATTATATCTCCCAAACTCTAACTGTTCGATTCTCTGATCTGTTGTTGGCGAATCGACAACACACATACACATACACAAATACGAGGAATTTAGTTGAAGATAAGAGATGGATCAATGTAAGAACTTGCTCTTTATCCAAATCTTTTCCTTCACTTTCTCATGTTTGATGCTTCGGTGACTGAGTGTTGGTTTGAAGGAGTCTCTCACAGAACAGGACCATGTGAGGCAGGACCATGTGTGGACCACCCTGACAGAGAAGACACATCTCAAACCTCTGCCATTACCTGTGCCGTTCAATCATGGTATTTATTTGTAGCTGCTCCGTCGGGTCATGTCGCAGAGACCTAAATGTTTGTTCCAGAGAGAGTGAAGGACAGCTGTTTGTTTAATACTCTGCCTCCGACTGCGGCCGACTCCGGTTATTTGGTTTTGTGTCTCAGCTCCGTGTGTTCGATGACAGAAGTTTACCGCTGAGAGGGTGATCTGGGTTTCCCGGCGGGACAGGGGACCACTGCCACGGGAACGCCACGGCCCGCCATGTTTACTCACTTTAAACAGGTTCAGGTGGCTTCAATTGTGTCAAGCGAGGGACGGAAACTAATATTTTGAAAGGTTTCCCAGCATGCATTGTGGTTAAGTACGGCGAGTTTTAAATTTCAGAGCAATGGTTCAGAGTTTTGGCGAAAAAAAAGGCCTGATATTATTCTCACACTGCAGATAAATGGAGAATACACAGAATAGGGCTGCACGATATATCGAAAAAATATATTAAATAGATATTGGTGCGTCCGATATCCACATAGAAAAGACAACAAAACAGACAGACACATCAACATTCAACAAGAACAACAACCAAACAAAAAAGTAAATAAATATATGCATTTGAATGTCATTAATTTTGTGCTATTTGTTGTTATTTGTCTCTTGCGTCTCATTGCAGATTGCAATTTTAGGTGAAAGACAAAAATATTGCAATAATATCGATATCAAAATTCTAAATATATCGAATATCGCTCTAATTTCCAATATCGTGCAGCCCTAACACGGAAGTGGAAGCTGCAGAAAATCTAATCCAGTTGTCTGCACAGTTAATTCTTTTCAAAATTTATTTAAACATTGTCAGTGTGGTGTCTGAAACCCAAAGTGTTACCACCGCACCAATAGGTGGCGCTCTTGGGTTAGTGATACAAAAAGGAGTTGCTGAGTGCAGCCTGTGTTGTGGTCGTTACTGTTTGTTCTGGATGCTTCCCAGATAATAAATCAGGCCGTTTGAAACTTGCGTCGTTTTTCACAAGAGGAGATCTTTTTGTTTTATCTGTACACAACAGTCAGAGTAGGAGCCTGTCTCACATTTTCAAGAAGATTGCTCCAGATTCTAGCTGCATAAATCTGAAACGCTGCCTTCTCAGTGTTTGGTCCTGACTCTGGGCATCAGCAGGAGGCCCCAGAGTCAGAGTCTGCATGTGCGGTTTGTTTATCAGTGTTAGAGCCAGCCCATCTCCTCCTCCTCGTCCTGCTGCAGGTTAAATCTCCCAAGTGTTGCAGAAGTCATGTCCGCCTCATCGCCGTGACGATTACATTACCCCGACCTTTTTAACGCCGCTTGTAAATCAGTCCAAACAGGTGAATTATTAACAGGGACATTCCACTACTGATTCACAACTTCTGCACCTCCACACACAGTAACCCGGGCTTTCTCGTGGCTCATTTAAAAATCAAACACACACAGACACACACACACACACAGACACACACAGACACACACAGACACACACACCATCCCAGTTCAAAAAGCAGTGGCATTTTTACCGCGTTTTTGACCATGTTAAGAGAGCTCAGAGAAGGAATGCATCGGCAGGTCTAGACGTGAACTTCCGCATAAAGCAGGAAGAGTGTCACAACCAGATGCAACCTCTACAAACGCACACACACACACACAAACACACACACACACACACACACACACCCAGATCCTCTCTCAGCCCTGCACTCGTTATCTGGTGTCACCAAAACGGCCCAATTTGGAACTAATCTGAGCTAATGAGGCCCTGTTGACGTCCACTCGGGTTTGAAGAGAGAGATAAACCAGAAAAGGTGAGTTTGGACACTTTAGTTTGTGGTCAAAATGTCTAAATCGCGAGTCATTTTGTAAATCTTACCGTTGAGCCAAAGTTGAGTAACTGTAAATAGATCTATTGCATCGTATGTGCTCCCATCTCATTTTTTATTTACATTTATTTCCGCCAGTTTGGCCATTGATAGACACCATTGAAGCCAAATATTTACATAATTTTGTGATTTAAAATGGTTATATATATGTTGTTATGGAAAATTGTATAGTTCATAGTAATAGTAATTGTATATTCTATCTAATACGTGTGAATCTATCTTAACAAACGCTGATTACCTCCACAACTATCTAAATTGTGGATTAATTTGACCCGATACAAAATGTGTGTTAGACTTACTCAGCATTTATGGCTTACAATGAATCAAACAAGATTTATTTTTCGAACCTAACTTGTGTGAATATGAATATACTCATTTATTTAGGTATTAAAAACAAGAGCTCATCCCATTGATTACGTATTTTAAGCCAATATGTTCGTCCACTAATAGACTGGACATCTTTCCCAGTCTATTGGAGTTTCCCTGTGGCATGAGACATATATATATAGAGAGAGATTTTTATGTTAGGACAATAAGTCACCGTTCCTGCAGATAAGATCAAGAGTTATGCAATTTCCATGGCCTCAGGAGCTGACTTTCCGCCGCTGTGTGGAGACTTGAGCTGCGCAGAATACGCCCAGACTTGAAAACAATCATGTTCACAAACAGGGCGGCACGGTGGCTGAGAGGATAGCACTCTCGCCTCTCAGCAAGAAGGTCCTGGGTTCAAATCCCGGTCGGACCAGGGCCTTTCTGAGTGGAGTTTGCATGTTCTCCCCGTGTCTGCGTAGGTTTCCTCCGGGTACTCCGGTTTCCCCTACCACTAAAAATATGTCCAATAGTTCTGGCATGCACTTCCTGTACTGGCGACCCCGCTCCCATCTCTGTGTGGAGTGAGAGACAAATGCCCAAAAATTAACAATTGTAAACCGCTTTGAGACTCAGATCTGCAGTGAAAAGGCGGTATATAAATAAAAACTTACTTACTTACTTACTTTTACCTGCTTTGTCAAACTCCAAACTCCAAACTCCAAACTCCGGCGTAGGCAGCGACTAAAGAGACTGAATGTGTAAACGGTGGGTAATATTCAGATTCAGATTCAGATTCATTTTATTCGCCATTTGCAGTAACACTACATTGGAATACATTAGTAAAAGTTCCCAGTGTGCACAGGACAAGTACAGACACAAAACAACATTAAAAGACAAAAATAAAACAAATTTTAAAAACAGTAAACAAATGTCACTGTGAAGTTGACCAACTTAAAACAGATCTATACAAGTGAAAAACATTAAAGTGCTCTATTCAAACTGATAACAGCTCGTGGAAAAAAACTATTAGCATAACGAGAAGTCCTGCATCTCAGAGAACAATATCTTCTGCCAGAGGGAAGAAGCTGGAACAAGGCTTTTCCTGGGTGGCCAGAAGAGTCATTGATAATTCTCAGGGCACGGTTAATATTGGCTGACGAAAGAGTTCAGTCTGGAATCATGTATTTTGAGTATTTTTGTGTGTGTGATTTAAGACAAAAATTGGCTTTCTACTTCATCTACTTTACCTAAAATTAAGATTGTCCTTTGTTTGTCCCACAGTGAACGTTGTAAAGCGCTTTGGGTGACCTTGGTTTGTAAAATAGCGCTTTATGAATTCATATTACTTACGTACTTACTTATACTGAACAATAATAATAACTGAACAGACCAATAACTGGATAAAAGAACATTAACTCTATACTACTTTTATTATTATTCTAATCTCTGACTTTAGCATAATAAAGAGGCAAGTCTGAAATTTCTAACAAATAAATATGAAAGAATTGGGTCTAAAATCTCTGACTTTAGCAAAATAAAGAATTGGGTCTAAAATCTCTGACTTATGAATATCAATCAGAATCAGAATCATTTTTATTGCCACGTAAGTAGCAGAAAATTGCTTTGGAAAGAAGCAAATGTAAAATCTCTGACTTTAGCATCATAAAGAATTATCTAAAATCGGTCTAAAATCGATTATGGCTAGATTTTAGACCCAATTCTTTAGCGTCATAAAGAATTGGGTCTAAAATCTAGCCATAATTGAGAGTAAGTGTGAGATATCTAACTTTAACATAACAGAGAGTCCATTATAAAACACTGTATATGTTTACGTTCAGAGATACATGCTCAGGGTCAGTTATTTTAATGGAAATACATTAAAATCATTGACATTGAATTTTCTATGGTTCAGGTTTGTTCTACTTTTGCTGTGTCATATATTTTTTCAAAACAATGTATGCGTGAAAAGCAGGTCCTTGGAGAGTGAAGGACATCAGTAATGACAGACGAGTGTAAGTATAGTAGTAGTAATAGTAGTAGAGAAAAGCAGTAATGACAGTCTAAGGCTGAGCTTATACTGAGACGCTGCGCAGACGTTTCCAGGCTATTATCAAAACGACCAGGCTCCTAATGCAAATCCCCCCCCCCCCCCCCCCCCCCAGCCCGTCGTGATGCTAACCCGTCGTGATGCTAGCCCGTCGTGATGCTAATCCGTCGTGATGCTAGCCCGTCGTGATGCTATCCCGTCGTGATGCTAACCCGTCGTGATGCTAGCCCGTCGTGATGCTAATCCGTCGTGATGCTAGCCCGTCGTGATGCTAGCCCGTCGTGATGCTAGCCCGTCGTGATGCTAGCCCGTCGTGATGCTAACCCGTCGTGATGCTAGCCTGTCGTGATGCTAGCCTGTCGTTATGCTAACCCGTCGTGATGCTAACCCGTCGTGATGCTAATCCGTCGTGATGCTAGCCCGTCGTGATTCTAACCCGTCGTGATGCTAGTCCGTCGTGATGCTAACCCGTCGTGATGCTAACCCGTCGTGATGCTAACCCGTCGTGATGCTAGCCTGTCGTTATGCTAGCCCGTCGTGATGCTAACCCGTCGTGATGCTAACCCGTCGTGATGCTAATCCGTCGTGATGCTAGCCCGTCGTGATGCTAGCCTGTCGTGATGCTAACCCGTCGTGATGCTAACCACTCAGAAACACTTGTGTTTTTATAATGCGGCACCTGCTCCAGTGTTTCCAATAATATTTATTACTCCCCCTCTAGTGGCAGCTTCGGGAGTTACAGTTCAAAAGCATTATTTAACCTGGATACACGTGTCACCGTATATTTTCTACTGAATATTTAATCTAAGTAAAAAGTCTCATTATCGTTTAAAATGGCCAAAAAATAATGCATTATATTTCTTCTTTCTTTAAGACCAGTTAAAACTTACAGTGTTTCCGATAATATTTATGAACTCCCCCCTCTGGTGGTCGCATTGTGAGTTACAGGCGGATAGCGTTATTTACCCTTGATGAAATGACAAAGTATAAAGTGCCATTAGCATTCTGGGTGGGCAAAAAGAATGCGTCATATTTCTACTTTCTTTAAGAATAGGTCAAACTTTCTCTACAGGGACAAAGGCGTGTGATTGGCTGAAATATTAGCCTTTAGCGCTTTAATAGCAGCAGCAGCAGTTAGTTGTCCTGTTGTTTTGTCGCTTAACCCCCTTTTTTAGCCCCCATTTCAGCCTGATTTTTACCCCGCATTTTTAGCATAGGTTTTTATCATTTTACTTTGATTTTAAATTGATTTTGTCCAATAATTTTAACCTGTTTTATCTCACAGCTTATTATTCAGTGGTCTTCCTTTAAACCGTCTCCAAAGAACTTTTCCCAAGCATAACATTTTGACACTTTATAAGCACTTTTTAGACGATAATAAAAGTAGCAGCAGTAGGTGTGGTGTTATTTTGGCACTTGATTCGTTAGCACTTTTAGAGACAGATCCACACCAAAACTTTCACTTTTCTGGATTTGAACTTTTCCAAATGTTTTTTTTAATCTATGGAATATCTCAGCAGCCGTCGTGATGCTAACCCCCTCAGTGCGCGCCCCAGAAGCACTTGCAAAATGAATGTGTTTTTATAATGCATCGTGCGGGTTTGGCCGAGTGCCGCTGCTGGGCTCATGCTCCGGTGTTTCCAATAATATTTATGAACGCTGACAAATCACATATTTTCAGAGCGGCTTCTGAAGAGAAAGATAATACAGGCCACGGGAGCGCGCGGGTATTTGGAGTAGAATTCTTCTCTTTGACAGACGATGGAGAGCTCTGGTCCTGTTGTGTTTGTGTAGCTGCAAGTCGTCTGGTTAGAAGCACAAGTTAGAAGGGTGGGGGAGAGGGGGTGAGGGTGGGGGAGAGGGGGTGGGGGAGAGGGTGGGGGAGAGGGGGTGGGGGAGAGGGTGGGGGAGAGGGGGTGGGGGAGAGGGGAGAGGGGGTGAGGGTGGGGGAGAGGGTGAGGGTGGGGGAGAGGGGGTGAGGGTGGGGGAGAGGGGGTGGGGGAGAGGGGGTGAGGGTGGGGGAGAGGGGGTGAGGGTGGGGGAGAGGGTGAGGGTGGGGGAGAGGGTGAGGGTGGGGGAGAGGGGGTGAGGGTGGGGGAGAGGGTGAGGGTGGGGGAGAGGGTGAGGGTGGGGGAGAGGGGGTGAGGGTGGGGGAGAGGGGGGTGAGGGTGGGGGAGAGGGTGAGGGTGGGGGAGAGGGGGTGAGGGTGGGGGAGAGGGTGAGGGTGGGGGAGAGGGGGTGAGAAAAATATAAACAAAAATACGGGAAATTGTCTGCTGCAGGTTTGAGATAAATAGACAACACTAAAAACGAACTGGAAATGATACAAAATAAAAACATAATACTGAACTTAAGTATTTTCATCTGGGATCAGTATTTTTTTTTTTACACATTTTTCACAATAACTTTTTACATATCAATTCAAATATTTGTAAATCCAACTTCTTATATTTTAAACTACTTTGAAGACGGCAACAGAACATAAAGCACGTTTAAGTGGTTAGCTGTGCTTCTAAGTTCAGACCATTAAGCCTAAACGTTTTGTTCGTTTTACTCTCTGACAGTAAGACCCATTTAAATAGTGGTGTGATGTTGTTTAGGTCAAAGCCAAATGTTTAAACATCTGGTAATACTCAATATGCATTTTACTTTACACAAAAACTCATACTTTTAAACTGAAGTAAGTTTTTTATGGCACTACTTTTACTTTTACCAATGTTAAACGGACGGTATGTAATATTCACTTCTAGTGGTCGAATTAAGTAATTACATCACTATACCGCCATACTGCTATTGCCATAATCTTACTGATGCAATCCACCTGCTGGGGTTTAGCTGCAATAGTTTATTATGGGGCTTTCAGACCGCCAACGCTGAAACGCTGAAGCCCCGCTCACCAGACGCGCATTCTCTAGTTTTCAGACGCAGGGGTCTTCACACCGAGATGTCCTGACGCGAGCCGGAAGTACCGGAAGTAGCCGGCCAGCTCTGATGCTAACAGAGCTATGCTAGCGGCTTCTTGTGTACAGATCTTCTCCAATATGCAGCTTTGCAGCGTGTCTTTGCTCACAGACATTCCACAGGCTTTATATAACAGTAGTATGTGTTCACGGAGGTGCGTCATACGTTTTTTCATATTATTAAACGGTATTTCCGCATCGGTTAACACACTCGGAGCAGTTGCATAAGGTCACGGGAGTATGACAACGCATATTTTCACAAGCACAGAGTCCCCCATTGTCAGCCCTGGTTTGAGTTCTGGTGAAGTCTGGTGTGGGTCCTGTTTTGGCTGTTTACGAGTATTTTCAGTCTGCTCGCTCAGTCCGCTAATGTCCCCGTGACCAGTTTGCTGCTCTCTGATTGGTTGTCGCACAAACGTCCCGAGGAAAGGATGAGCAGAATCCATCTCCTGTGGGCGTTGATTTATCGCTCCTGCTCCTCCCTTTCACTTTCCCGCCAAGTCCGTGCGTCATTATTGTCTGTGCGTGCCGAGAGGTCCGTGCGTTGTGACGGGCGAACGCGCGTGACCATAGACTTTGCATTGAAACCCGACGCAACGCATGATCCGGTCTGAAAGCACCATTAGTCTGTATCATGCGACAAATGCGGTACTATGTTTTTGCTACTTTGTTATTCATAAAGCTAAAATCAGCTAAATTTCACCAATCAAACTGGCAACCCAAATGACAGCCTCATTCTGCTCTCTGATTGGATAATCTGCTTTAAAACCATACACTTAATATTGAGGGCATCATGTCTACAGTAGTCTAATTTAAGAATAACTCAAATGTAGTCAAATGTGTACAATAACTTACAGAGAGAATATTACATACATCCCCTTTAACTTGTTCTCTAGTATCTATACTTTTACTTTTTTGCCTTTTCATTTCTTTTTTTGAGCTCCTAGGTGTCACATACACACTAATACTATCATACCACACCGATGACATCACATGGGACTCAACCGGAAGCAGAAGTGTGAAATGCTGATGTGGGACTCTCCCCTTTAAGGCCACGTTATCTGGGAGTCATGAGTCAGAAGCTTCTGCCTCACAGCAAGAAGGTCCAGGGTTCGACTCCACCTCCAGGCCTTTCTCTGTGGCGAGAGAGAGACCAGAGAGAGAGACCAGAGAGAGAGAGACCAGAGAGAGACCAGAGAGAGACCAGAGAGAGACCAGAGAGAGAGACCAGAGAGAGAGACCAGAGAGAGAGACCAGAGAGAGACCAGAGAGAGACCAGAGAGAGACCAGAGAGAGAGACCAGAGAGAGAGACCAGAGAGAGACCAGAGAGAGACCAGAGAGAGAGACCAGAGAGAGACCAGAGAGAGACCAGAGAGAGAGACCAGAGAGAGAGACCAGAGAGAGAGACCAGAGAGAGAGACCAGAGAGAAACCAGAGAGAGAGACCAGAGAGAGACCAGAGAGAGAGACCAGAGAGAGACCAGAGAGAGACCAGAGAGAGAGACCAGAGAGAGAGACCAGAGAGAGAGACCAGAGAGAGACCAGAGAGAGAGACCAGAGAGAGAGACCAGAGAGAGAGACCAGAGAGAGAGACCAGAGAGAGACCAGAGAGAGAGACCAGAGAGAGAGACCAGAGAGAGAGAGTAGGTTACCTCTGGGCGCTCTGGTTTCCCCTACCACTAAAAACATGTGCAATAGTCCTTAACAAAACCCTCCCAGCCTCTCTCTCTTCCTGGTGAAATAAACGTAAATAAAATCAACATAACCACCTCTGCTTAACATTTATGCCATGCTCGGGTCAAATTGGCCGCCACGGTGATAAAAAAATACCCTAAATATTTATTTTTGAGCTGAATTTATATGATTTTTTCTAACTTGACCAGGCCTGGGTTAAAATTATACTCTATCATACCCTATTTTTGGAATTTTTCTTCTACTTTTAATCACCGTGGCGGGGTAGCATGAGGGTTGAACTTGCAATATGTCACTTTGTTGGATCCAGGCAAAGACAAGGATCTTCAAGATAATAGCAAAGTAAGGATTGAAAGTTTGCAGATGGAATGACACATAATACCATTTAATCCATACACATGCATATATACATTTATTTTCCTATGGATCTGATCTGAATGGTGTTTGTTCCAAGCCTTTCTGACAGGTCTCCATTTCCCTGAAGCCGTGGGTGAACTGTTCGATTCTAATGCGTTCCTCTCCACACGCTGCACACGCCGTTGTCATAACATCAGATAAACATGAGCCGTTATTAGAGCAACACTGGAGATCTGAAATAATGTGTTTGTTTGTTTGAGAATCGACATTAGAACGGCTGATTAACCCGGGATTTAAACCAGATAAATATCACACGATCAAGTAGTTTTTCATTCTCCATCCAGGAAATTAAGATTAAGATTAAGAGGTCCTTTATTCGTCACACAGTGGGATAATGTACCTGTGTCTCTATGTACCTGTGTCTCTCTGTGTCTATATGTACCTGTGTCTGTATGTACCTGTGTCTCTCTGTGTCTATCTGTATCTGTGTCTATATGTACTTGTGTCTCTCTGTGTCTATCTGTACCTGTGTCTCTCTGTGTCTATATGTACCTGTGTCTGTATGTACCTGTGTCTCTCTGTGTCTATCTGTATCTGTGTCTATATGTACCTGTGTCTCTCTGTGTCTATCTGTACCTGTGTCTCTCTGTGTCTATATGTACCTGTGTCTCTCTGTGTCTATATGTACCTGTGTCTCTCTGTGTCTATATGTACTTGTGTCTCTCTGTGTCTATCTGTACCTGTGTCTCTCTGTGTCTATATGTACCTGTGTCTCTGTGTGTCTATCTGTACCTGTGTCTATATGTACCTGTGTCGCTCTGTGTCTATATGTACCTGTGTCTCTCTGTGTCTATATGTACCTGTGTCTCTGTGTGTCTATCTGTACCTGTGTCTCTCTGTGTCTATCTGTATCTGTGTCTATATGTACTTGTGTCTCTCTGTGTCTATATGTACCTGTGTCTCTGTGTCTATATGTACCTGTGTCTCTCTGTGTCTATATGTACCTGTGTCTCTCTGTGTCTATATGTACCTGTGTCTCTGTGTGTCTATCTGTACTGTACCTGTGTCTCTCTGTGTCTATCTGTATCTGTGTCTATATGTACTTGTGTCTCTCTGTGTCTATCTGTACCTGTGTCTCTCTGTGTCTATATGTACCTGTGTCTCTCTGTGTCTATATGTACTTGTGTCTCTCTGTGTCTATCTGTACCTGTGTCTCTCTGTGTCTATATGTACCTGTGTCTCTGTGTGTCTATCTGTACCTGTGTCTATATGTACCTGTGTCTCTCTGTGTCTATATGTACCTGTGTCTCTCTGTGTCTATATGTACCTGTGTCTCTGTGTGTCTATCTGTACCTGTGTCTCTCTGTGTCTATATGTACCTGTGTCTATATGTACCTGTGTCTCTGTGTCTATATGTACCTGTGTCTCTCTGTGTCTATCTGTACCTGTGTCTCTCTGTGTCTATATGTACCTGTGTCTCTCTGTGTCTATATGTACCTGTGTCTCTCTGTGTCTATATGTACCTGTGTCTCTCTGTGTCTATCTGTACCTGTGTCTCTCTGTGTCTATATGTACCTGTGTCTCTCTGTGTCTATCTGTACCTGTGTCTCTCTGTGTCTATATGTACCTGTGTCTCTCTGTGTCTATATGTACCTGTGTCTCTCTGTGTCTATATGTACCTGTGTCTCTCTGTGTCTATATGTACCTGTGTCTCTCTGTGTCTATATGTACCTGTGTCTCTCTGTGTCTATATGTACCTGTGTCTCTCTGTGTCTATATGTACCTGTGTCTCTCTGGGTCTATATGTACCTGTGTCTGTGTCTATATCTACCTGTGTCTCTCTGTGTCTATCTGTACCTGTGTCTCTCTGTGTCTATCTGTACCTGTGTCTCTCTGTGTCTATATGTACCTGTGTCTCTCTGTGTCTATCTGTACCTGTGTCTCTCTGTGTCTATATGTACCTGTGTCTCTCTGTGTCTATCTGTACCTGTGTCTCTCTGTGTCTATATGTACCTGTGTCTCTCTGTGTCTATCTGTACCTGTGTCTCTCTGTGTCTATCTGTACCTGTGTCTCTCTGTGTCTATCTGTACCTGTGTCTCTCTGTGTCTATCTGTACCTGTGTCTCTCTGTGTCTATATGTACCTGTGTCTCTCTGTGTCTATCTGTACCTGTGTCTCTCTGTGTCTATCTGTACCTGTGTCTCTCTGTGTCTATCTGTACCTGTGTCTCTCTGTGTCTATATGTACCTGTGTCTATATGTACCTGTGTCTCTGTGTCTATCTGTACCTGTGTCTCTCTGTGTCTAGGAATTCTTGCCTTTTGGGTCCTTGCCTCACCTCAGCACCAGTCAGGTCCACGTGCGCTGACATGCTGCAATCCCCCTCCGAGCTGGTGGGGGTGTACCCGGAAAGAGAATTACCCAATGCCTTTGTATGGCGTCTTCTTTCCTCTCGAAAACGTCTTTACAGGATGTGCCGGTCAGTGCAGACTAACGGATGTGCAAATGCAAAAGCTTTTCACCTTTTCCTGCCCGGCAGCCATTTTGAAAAAGCCCACAGAAGGTAAAAGTGGTTTCATTGGTTTCAGTGGCGGAGATAGACGTGACTCCGTTAATATTTACAGTCTATGCTCAGCACGGGACACAAGAAATAAGTATAAGATCTCTGAGGCATATTCTAGCATATTAAGAAGTAAGCATAAAGTCTCTCACTTTAATAAAGAAGCAAGTGCAAGAAATATATATTAGCAGCATGAGGCAATGAGACAAAGTGACTCAGTAAAGGTGGCAGTGACATGTGTGGTTCTTTAAACACATTCGGACATTATTTCAAAGCAGCTGCTATTTCTCGTTGTTTGTTTCTTTGGTGAACTTTAAAATTCACACGTTGACCACACTCTATACAGGGTCACTGAGTGGAAGAGCCAAGAGCTGGTGCTAGTGCATTTCAACACAGGAAGTTGCCTCTTTGCTACTTCCTTCTATGGAAACGGCTCCAAAATGGTTTTTATCTATGATTCCGAAAACCATCTGTGAAGCATTGGAAAATATTAATCATATTTAAGGAGGTTGTGTCCTGTTTGGAACGGCATCAGTTGAAATCAAGCCCAAGGGGAAATTACCAACGGTTGATGAAATCTTATCCAACAAGAATAACAAAATGAGCACAACCATAAAGGCACATGTAGACTGCAGACCTCCACCAAGAGGCACAGTTTTTATCAAGTCTTTAAAATTAAGAAAAATATCCTGAATCCAGACGATGTTTCGGCTTTTGTTGAAAAAATCATACCTGTTTGAGTTGTCTTTCTAACTTACAGACTGACAGGCAGACAATCAAACCTCTGTGACTACATTACCCCACGGGCTAGTGTTCCCAGAGGTCTCCCATCACAGTGCTGACCAGGCCCTGTCCTGCTGAGCTTCTGAAGTCATGCAGAAGCTCAGCAGGACTGTATTTTATTACAAAATCTCAGAGAAAGGAACAAACATCCAAGTGCTTTCTCAAGTTTCATTACTCTGGAATTACCGGCGTTTCACAAAGAAAGACAGAGCAAAACTAAAACAGACAGAAAGACAGATATATTTATAATAAGACATTTTTATTTATATAGCGCCTTTCACAGACCAGACTCAGCTTTTGGGCCCTGTTCCGACCGGGATTCGAACCCAGGACCCAGGAGTTATGACATGGAGATGCTGTAGTCAACGACTGGTGTAAATGAGAGAGAATAAGAGAGAGCACCCTGCAGTTGTTGTACTGTTTTATTGAATTGTCTCTCTTTCTGATCTCTCCCTGGTCTCTCTCTGGTCTCTCTCTAGTCTCATTGTCTCTCTCTCTCTCTCTCTGGTCTCTCTCTGATCTCATGGCCCCTCTCTCTGGTCTCTCTCTGGTCTCTCCCTGGTCTCTCTCATGGTCTCTCCCTGGTCTCTCTCTGGTCTCTCTCTCTGGTCTCTCTCTTGTCTCTCTCATGGTCTCTCTCTGGTCTCTCTCTGGTCTCTCCCTGGTCTCATGGTCTCTCTCATGGTCTCTCTCTGGTCTCTCTCTGGTCTCTCCCTGGTCTCTCTCATGGTCTCTCTCTGGTCTCTCCCTGGTCTCTCTCTGGTCTCTCTCTGGTCTCTCCCTGGTCTCTCTCATGGTCTCTCTCTGGTCTCTCCCTGGTCTCTCTCTGGTCTCTCTCTGGTCTTTCCCTGGTCTCTCTCATGGTCTCTCTCTGGTCTCTCCCTGGTCTATCTCTGGTCTCTCCCTGGTCTCTCTCTGATCTCTCTCGCTGGTTTTCTTGCTGTTCTCTCTCTCATGGTCTCTCTCTGGTCTCTCTCTGGTCTCTCTCTGGTCTCTCTCTGGTCTCTCCCTGGTCTCTCTCATGGTCTCTCCCTAGTCTCTCTCTGGTCTCTCCCTGGTCTCTCTCTGATCTCTCTCGCTGGTTTTCTTGCTGTTCTCTCTCTCTGATGGTGAAATATTATTTTGGTATTCAAACATTTAATATTTTGTCATCTGTTTTTGTTCTTTTATCAGAAATGTTTGCAGTTGTTCACTTCCCTCTAGTTTCTGGTCGCCCGAACACAACAGACACTCACACTTCTCTTTTCTCATCTATATTAAACACAGCATTTGATTCTCTTCTTCACCCGCTCCATGGACAGCTGCACAGAAATAAAAAACAGCCATGTGTGACTGTGAAACCACGGTAACCACAGGAAGAGGGCGTGGCCTGGTGTTGACATGACTGAGTGAGCACTTACTGTTCTACGCACTGATGGTGATTACGCCGTGTTTTCTCCGCCGTTAAATGTGTTTTAATCAGAGCTGAATGTTTCCACTGGAGGAGATGGGGGGTTCACACACACACACACATACATACGTGAACACACACACACATACACACACACATACACACACACACACACACACATACATGAACACACACATACGTGAACACACACACTGTCATTATCATAGCATTTCTTGTGTTTGAACTGTTTGAACTCAATAAAGTGACTGTGGTTAATTGTGTTGGACATGGTCAGAGTAGAAGACTGTCTCACGTTTTCCAGAAGACTGTTCCAGAGTTTAGCTGCATGAATCTGAAACGTTGCCTCCCCATGTTTCGTCCTGACTCTGGGCACCAGAGGGAGGCCAGTCCCTGTGCTCCTCAGAGTCCCAGCAGGAGGCCAGTCCCTGTGCTCCTCAGAGTCCCAGCAGGAGGCCAGTCCCTGTGCTCCTCAGAGTTGGTTCATATGGCACAACCATGTCCCAGATGTACTTACAGTAGGTTAATGTCCTTCTCTATATAAAATCTATAAAATCTAAGTCTATAAGTTTAATTTGTGGTTTTGAGGCTTTCTTCTAAACTCTGCCGTCACAGATGTTTCTAGAGTTTAATTTACGACACGGACACATCAAATCTTGTCTCATTTCATTCCCAAACGATGATCGCTGATCCTCCTCGCCTTAAGAAACATGGACATACCCAAGAAACACGCTGAGCTTTTCAGATGATCCCAGTCTCCGCTGCTGACGTCTCACATCGCCGGCCACATTCCACTGTATAAATCAGAAGGTGGCGGCCTGAAGGGGGCAGCGGCGAGATTTATGGCCAAGTGCAGTATGCAAGCATGCATAGAGGAAACAGCCAATGGGTCATTTATTCTGGGCATCAGCATTTTTACTAATCAATTTCTGAGCTCTTTGTGACAAATAGAACTGCAGTCTTGATACGTTTTAAAAGTTGGAGCCTTAAAGCGGACGAGGACTCTGAGAACGAGACGACCAGGTTCAATGTCCAGAAAATCACACAATCAACGTTTTTGATTCTTCATAAAAACCGGTTACTCAAACACAACTAGAACTCTGTCAGACGTCAAAAGCTAAGCGAAGCAGGGACTGGTTAGTGTTGCGATGGTAGACCTCTGGGAACACCCGGTGCACACAAAGGCAGTGGGGTTGTGTCCTTGGGCAAGACACTTCACCCTCTGCCCTGTGTGTGTGTGTGTGTGTGTGTGTGTGTGTGTGTGTGTGTGTGTGTGTGTATAATTGGTGGTAGCACGGATCAGTTGCCTCGCTCCTGTCAGTCTGTTCGAGGGCAGCTATGGCTACTGTTGTAAGTTAAAGAACTATGGAAAACAGATTATTATAATTACATGTTTTTATATTTTCTGCTACTTTTGGCGATACAGTTTTTGGGTTAGACACTGGTCTTTGCACTGTCTTATGACTATAGACTTAATTAATAAAGAAAAAAAAGTATGTTTATACTGCTGTATTGCTTTGAAATGACCAACTATTGAAGTTGTAGAACATGTTAAATCTTAGAGATGGAGATGTTGGAAGAATAAAGTGAGGGCCTGAAGCCGGGAGCAGACTGTGTTTACTTGGTTTATTTTTCAATTTCAGAAATGAAAGTGGGTAAACACAGTCTGGTCTCCAGCCCAGTGATAATAACACATCTATTTCCAGGCAATCGTCCAAACAAGCATCGTTTTCATAATTCCACACAACATTTCTGACGACACTGAGCCTTGGTTTCAGGAGAAGCTCAAAGATCCGTCTTTGTTGAACTCAAAACAATTGGAACTAGAACTTTACAGTGAATGAGAATGTGCTGAATGTCAGCTGCTCAGAAATCACATATTTTGTTCGTCTGACTCTGTGTCAGGAGCAAGACGTGACTCGCAGCAGAGGAACGACATAAAGAAACAAACTCCAAGGTTCAGATCAAACAGAAGCTGAAGGAGACTCACACCGAACACCTGCAGCGGCTCTGACGGACAGAAAGACACTTTCTAGATCCCTGAGTCCAGCAGCAGAAACACATCATCCACACTAACAAATAAATACATCATTCAAAAAGTTACTCACAAGTTACACCTCTTCATGCCGCACATTCCTCCCGGTCACCATGACGACCACAGCTGATCCATGAGCCTTCTTACATGTGTCTGATTGTGTGTTTTCTCCACAGATGGACGACATAGACGCCATGTTCAGCGACCTGCTGGGGGAGATAGACCTCCTCACACAGGTACTGGCCACAACAAGTGCAGCTTTTACTACAAATATCAAATGTTTTGTCAAATTATCAAACAGAACTACACATTATGAACCGACTTACTCTGTGGTCACCATGGAACAGTTAAGGAATCATCTTCTGTCCAACAAAAACACATTTAGTCTTAGTTTGTCTATTTTTTTATGTGAAACCAACGCAAGGTGAACCATGAAACCTTTTAAGAAATAAATGCTGCAATCAATCACAAAAATAAATATGTGAAAAATCTAGACAGAGAAATGTGTAAGTGAAGCCTTTGTGTTAATCTGTGTGTAGTCTGTGCCATGTACACACAGTAGAAGCAATATCTAATCATTTGTGTGTATATTTACAAATTAATTTCCGTCTCATCAGCTCTAAGTGAAGTGGGTTGATTTCTCCTCCTTTCATTGGTGGTTTATATTTATTTAACTTGGTGCCCTTTTCTCCCCGACACCTGAATAGACTTGTTCTAGACTCGAGACACATGACAGAGCCACTAAAATCCGTCATCTATCACCGCGGACAGGCCGCCGCAGCAGCCGCAGCAGCCGCAGACGCCGCACTGGGGCTAACGCTGCATGGGGTCAGGAGTGAGGGGGGAAAAAGTCCAGCTGATCGCTTTGATGTTGTTTTGCAGCCGTCCATTTGGTTCCCATCACTTCTAATTTAGCCTGAGATTACTTTAGCGCAAGTGGAACTCCAAACAGATGGGAATTACAGAATACATAATTTCTGCGGAAGAATTTGTCAATGTTTACCGCGTTTTCTTGCTGCAGTTTGTGAGTTTTAATTCAACTCAATTCAATGTATTTTTGCACCGCCCTAAATGACAACAGCAGTCGTCTCGAAGGACTTTAAATAGTTGTCGATTCCAACACCAGAGCAGAAAATCAAACCGTTCAAGGAGACAGGAAATGCATTGATAACAAACACATACAGAAGCAGCCATTGGTCCACATGGAACGAATGACAAATGCCCTTAAATATGAATAAATGTCCACAAATGTCCTGGATCATCACTGTCCTAGAGCCAAATGCATCAGAAGGGAACAACTAAAAGAAAAAAACAGTTGGGAAAAAGATTAGGCTGTCGATCCAAGACTCAGGCTGTAGAACGAGGACTGATGTTTGCATGAATTGTACTTTAAAGCTGCAGTGTCCCACTTTCTTTTCATGGATAACGATCATTTTGCATGTCAGAAGAAGCGATAGAACCAAACCGTTTTGGGAGTTGGGAAATATATGGATTTCTTTACATGGTTTGTGTTTTAAAAATGTGATTCCCAGCTTTAAACAAGCCTCTGTTGTCTCCATCTCTATCCATCCAAAACCATGTGTTTATCTATATGTGCGATTTCCTAATGTTATGCTATGCTTTGCTATGTTTTTTTCCACTACCAGAGTCTTGGCGAAAACACAGACCCGCCGCCTCCCCCCGTCCCCAGGGCAGACTCGGCCGTCAACCTCTCCATCGGCTTCACTGACCTCAACGGTGACTCGACACCTACACATTCAGCAAACACTCCAGCCCCGTCACTTCTGCACAACGGCCTTATTTATGCCCAGAAACGCGATCTAAGGTCTATAATGGCAGATAAAACTGAAGGTCATCGGTCTAATTACGGTTGTACTTAGCGGCGTCTCTGATGGGACAGAAAACAAGGTCGCCGTCGTTTCTTTAATTTCCCCTGTTCCCCGCCGCCATTTTCGCTCATAATAGTTTGATGTTCTTTGTCTGCTGTGACGGTGCTGAGGTAATTTCTTTTGCAAAACAGTCTCCGTTCTGAAGCGATATCAACAGATTTTGAAATGGAGGTACTTACCGTGTTTTGTTTTGCATAATTAGATTAGCTTCATGGAACGACTTTACTTTGAGAAACGCTGAGGAGGCAGTTTTTGAGAGAGGAAAATACAAAAGCAGCAGCTACATTTCAATAGAACTTTTTTTGCATTTTTTTAAATACGTGTTTGCTTTAAAACGTGAATAAACAAAGGCTGGTTCAGGGCAGAGAAAAACAATTATAGTATGAAAAATTCTGTAAAACTTAACTAAGACGGAACTCAAAGAAACTCATCATAGAAAGTTCCAAATAGCCAATGTCAACAAATGTATTAAGCCACGGTTGGCAAGACAGCGAATGAGGGGGCTTCTACCTTCTACCTCGTTATCAACCAGAAAAATCATTCAGAAATAATGTATGTTTATCTGTTCACATTCATCAAGGCACAAAGTGAAGGTCAGATAAGTTTAAATTTCAAGGAAAGGAGGGTGTTGAACCAGTCCTATGTAAAAAGTTCAGATGGATGTGTGGTTCAGGTTCTTGGGCCGACAAAGTCACAGTCCACAGCTAGATTTGGAATATCTTATTGTGAAATGGCACGGCACGGTGGCTGAGTGGATAGCACTCTCACCTCTCAGCAAGAAGGTCCTGGGTTCGAATCCCAGGCGGAACAGGACCTTTCTGAGTGGAGTTTCCAAGTTTTCCCCGTGTCTGCGTAGGTTACCTCTGGCTACTCCGGTTTCCGCTACCACTAAAAACATGTACAATAGCTCTGGCATGTGCCTCCTCTACTGGCCCCGCTCCCATCTCTGTGTGGAGAGAGAGACAAATGCCCACAAATGTAAACCGGTTTGTGACTCTGGTCTGTGAAAGGCGCTATAAAAATAAAGATTATTTACATATATCAATTTCAATCAATACAAATTTTTCACTCAAGATCGAAGTGCTTAAAGTGGTTCTCACCCCCGCTCCTCGGAGCTTACGTTACTCACATTTCCTGTTCAAATCTTCCTCTAAATGGGCGTGGCCTGGAGGACTAAAGGGGGCGTGAACGAGACTGGGCCGTTTACATTGCTCTGGGCGGGGGGCTGCTGACGTCAGGTCCAACTTCTGTGCCAGTGTTGGCGCCAGATTCAAAATTCAAATGTAGTAATACAGGTCGCCAGCAGATGGCGCCTCACAGACGGTTTTAGGCAGAATGTCTAACTTTCAACTAATTTGCACCAAAGTGACAAGATTATGACCAGGATATGTAGACAACACTATTGGACACTCATTTATACCGTTTATCAGCAAAAAAAGGATTTGAGGGTGAGTTGTCCTTTAACAATAAAATCACAAAAAACAGTCATACAATCAAACAATAAAACAGTTGAAAAATATTAACATTTGTGATACAATAACATGTATATAAATAAAGATTACGTACTAAAATGAATAAAATCTGCCCAGCGCTGTAGTGTGTTTTACTACAGACCACTATTGTGACGTTTCATCTTCATCAGACATTCATTCTTTCATTTTCTAACCCATTTTTAGTCAATTTCTGGGTCGGGGAGTTGGCAATGAGAGATGCTCATAGCACCGGTCACTCGCTGACCCTCCGGCAGGTGGTGAGTCCACGAGAAGATGGACTGCTCCGTCAGCGGTGACACAGCCTTGGTCTTTCAGCGGGGGCATTGGGCAAAGTGGGGTTAAGTGTCTTGCCCAAGGACACAACAGCAGCAGACATGTCAGACAAATATAATGTATGTGAGGTAGCAAATTCATGTTAGCGTCTGAAACGAAGACCACCTCTGTAGGTCAGAAAGAACTTTTGAGAATCCACCTTCATAATAGATCACATGAGTTATTTGAATTCCAAAGTCTTTTTCTGTGGTAAAAAAAATACATTGATCTTAAAGAGAAACGTGACAAAAGCTATAATTTTTTTTATTTTTTTTTGCCAGAATCTCTGAACGAGCTGGAGGACAATGACCTGGACGCGCTCATGAACGACCTGATGGCGGACCTCAACGCCTCGGAGGAGAAGCTGGCGGCGGAGATCGAAGGTCTGAAGGATCCGTCGGCACCGAAACCAGATCCACCAAAACCTGCCACCTCTGCCCCCAGCCCCCGGCTCCCCTCTCGGACACCCTCCCTCCCCTCACCCCCCTCCCCACAGAGCACCAGCAGCACCGTGACCTCCCCTTCCTCCTCCTGCACCTCCCCCAGACCTCCCCCGCAGTCTTCCAAGCCCAGCAAGGTGAGTTTGAGTGTACAGTATATTGTTTTAAATCTTCAGCTACTGCATTATTTATAATAATTTTTCATGTTACTTATTTCTATCTTTGTTGCATGTTGCGCACCAAAAATGGTAAAACGCATTGTGTGACCTCCATAGGTGAAATACACAAATACATAAATAATAATAATAATAATAATAATAATGCATGAGTTTTATAAAGCGCTTTTCAGGTCACTCAAAATGTTACTTACTTCTTATAGTGTAAACTACAGTCATAAGCTGCGTTTCCATTGAGCATCAAATTTCGAAATTTGAATTTGCGCATCATAAAATGTCTAATGGAAACGCGCAAATTTCGAATAAACCACCGTTTTTCGATAAAAAGTTAATGCGCTTAAAATTGGTGGTTTTTTGGACGTATCGAAATTAAGTTTTTCGCAAAACGGCAATGGAAACACTTATTTCGATATATAGCAGAGGAAGCCGGGTGTTGATAAACCCAAAACATACATCTCTGATCATCAGCTGATCGTCCACAACAGCCTGCAGGGTAATTGACGGCCACCCTTTCCTGTTAACGTAATCCCTGTAGCCATCCTTCGGGGCACGAATAGGGATGTGTGATCCATCTATTGCTCCATAGATTTGTGGCAAGCCCTGCGCTGTGTAATTACCCATGGCAATGTCTTTTGCCTCATTCACATCTGGCAATGCGATGTATTTCTTCATTAGTTTTTTACATAACGCCTTACACACCCCATAAACACACCCATGGACTGTGGTATTGCTCAGTCCAAATGTCTCAGCCACTACTCTATACTCCGCGCAAGTAGCCAGTTTATAGATAGCAATGGCAATGCTCTGTGGGAACTGCCTCTAGGGCAGTGTGCAGCGGGAGCCACAAGCTGTCCCACCGCTTCGCACAGCTCCTCAAATGTTGTGCGCGTCATTCTGGATTGGTGATGATCAGGACACTTTAGCATTCTACAACATGTATGGACATTTTCTTCTGTGTGTGCTTTATATTCTTCATGTGTTTTAACTGTTGATTCTCTGACCTGTGTTGGTGATTTCAATGGTTTTGTTAAGTCTCTGAGATGACTTCTGTTGTGACCTAGGGCTATACAAGAATAAATTGTATTATATTGTATTGTATTCTGAAGTTTTGGATCCATAGTTCCTCTGTGAAATCATGTCCCACGACTTCCCAAAAGGTTCTCATCCGCATCCTCTCCCAAGTATACGGAGATCGCCGCTCCATTACACTCAGAAGGAGATGCCGCCGACGCTTAATCCGGTTAAGGATGAGAGCGGCAGCAGAAGTCAAGACATTAATATATCTCACGTAAATCAAAGTGTTGTTTACTTCTGTTGCCATGTTGACGTACTAGAAGCTAGTGAATAAACGCGCGAAAATAGTGTATACTTATTCGAATATGTCTTAATGGAAACGGCCGTTTTTGCGAATTACAGGTTTTTCGAATTTTGAAATGTATCGAAAAAGTTTTTGCGCATTATTCAATGGAAACGCAGCTATAGATCGACCAGACGGATTTCTTTTGTATTACCCAGTTTTATATTGTCCATCCACTTGGCATAACTTTGAGCAGCAAGATTTGCTGGAGGAGAATAGTCAAACCAATGACAAGGGGCGTTGCATACATGTTGACCAATCAGGAGGCTGCAGGAGTGAGAATGGGCGGGTCTAACTAGTGCCTGTCTTCAAAAAGTTTCATATCAGAAATTGAGAAGTGAGTTTCTGCAGAATTTCTGTGCAACAGGAAACGGCTGTTGAACGCCGCCACGACACGCTCACCACTGCTCGCCGTGGTCACTGTTCGCCGTGGTCACTGCTCGCCGTGGTCACTGCTCGCCGTGGTCACTGCTCGCCGTGGTCACTGTTCGCCGTGGTCACTGCTCGCCGTGGTCACTGCTCGCCGTGGTCACTGCTCCCTCGTGCGCCTGGAAAGGTGCTCTGGAATTTGGGCATTGATCTGGGGCAGTCTGTCTGGAACACATCAGGATCAATGGCACCGGTCTAAAACAAGAGAAGAGTTCAGAGGGAAAGAGGGAGGGAGAGAGAGAAACAGAGAGAGAGAGACAGAGAGAGACATAGAGAGAGACACAGAGAGAGAGACATAGGGAGAGACACAGAGAGAGAGACATAGAGAGAGAGACAGAGAGAGAGACATAGAGAGAGACACAGAGAGAGAGACACAGAGAGACATAGAGAGAGACACAGAGAGAGACACTCACAGAGACAGAGAGAGACAAAGACAGAGAGACACAGAGAGAGAGAGAGAGACAGAAAGAGAGAGAGACAGAGAGAAACAGAGACAGAAAGAGAGAGAGAGAGACACAGAGAGAGAGAGAGAGACAGAAAGAGAGAGAGACAGAGAGAAACAGAGACAGAAAGAGAGAGAGAGAGACACAGAGAGAGAGAGAGAGAGAGAAACAGAAAGAGAGAGGGACAGAGAGAAACAGAGACAGAAAGAGAGAGAGAGAGACACAGAGACAGAAGGAGAGAGATAGAGAGAGATAGAGATAGAGAGAGAGACAAAGACAGAGAGACACACAGAAAGAGAGAGAGAGAGGAGGGCAGTGGAGCAGACGTTATGACTTTAGCAGATCGCGTTACCTCATGCTAAAAGCAGCAGCTGTGCAGAGAGAGAGAGAGAGAAGTCGTCAGTGTTGGACAGAGTTTGTCAAAAAAAAAGTTGCACAGTCGGCAGCTTTTCAATAAGGATTCAGTATTTCCTCTGAATAAGCTTCGGACGTATTGAAAAGGTGATCCACTTCCTGCTCCTCTAAGACCAGCAGATTAGGCAGTGTCTCAGGTGAACTCTACACATTTCCGTCGGTAAGAAGGAAATGAAATTCAAACCAAATCAAATCTTTACGGAGTGACTTTTACGTCTGGAACCAGGAGTGGTAGATCCCAAGATGGAGACAAAGAGAGTGAAGTATGAGAAAAGAAAAAAACGTTGACCTTTTGCTCAGTTCTGTGTGTTGCGGGACTTTAAAGTGCAATATTGTTTTGTTTTTGGCTGGTGCCACAGTGGGGCGGCTGTAAAGTGCCAAGCTGTCGTCGTGTCCTCAGGCAAGACACTTCACCCATAATGCCTAGAATGAGTCTGGTGTGTGTGTGAATGGTTGGTGGTGGTGGTGGGAGGGGCAGATGGCACAGACTGGTTGCCTCGCTTCTGTCAGTGTGCCCCGGGGCAGCTGTGGCTATACTGGTATTTTCATGTTTGGAGTTAGAGACGGAAGAATTATTATTATTATTATTATTATTATTATTATTATTATTATTATTATTATTATTATTATTATTATTATTATTATTATTATTATTATTATTATTATTATTATTATTATTATTATTATTATTATTATTATTATTTATTATTATTATTATTATTATTGGATCCGACCCTGGGGCAACAGTAGCTCAGTTGGTAGAGCATTGGCCTTTGAGCCTGAAGGTTGTGGGTTCGAGCCCACCGTAAGACCTACTTCACGACTCCCACTGATGACTGCTGTTGTTGTGTCCTTGGGCAAGACACTTAACCCCACTTTGCCTGAAGCCCCAACTGAAAGATCTCAGCTCCTGTGGACTCACCACCTGCAGGAGGATCAGTGAGAGGCTGGTGCTCTGTGGACTGGGTGGCATCTCTGGCCACCCCCCCGACCCAGAAATGGATTAAGGGGAAGAAAATGGATGGATGGATGGATCCGACCCCAGCGGGTACCAGGTGGTGCAAACCCAAAACAGACCAGGTTTAAGAGCTTTCGACAGTTTTTTTTTTTTACGAATACAAAAATGTTAACTCTAAACTGCACTTATTCAGTAATGGTTAATTTTTTTTCTACACAATCTAGATAAACCAAATCAATATGCAGCCAACGTGTTACAATTCAATTCAACTTCTTCTTTTCGCGCCCTAAATCACAACAGTAGTTATCTTGGAGGACTTAAAGGTACATGTTCTACTTCCTGGTTGATCATCAAGACTATTGGTCCTCCCAATTGTCAATCAATCAATCTGGTGATATGTGCTCGTCCAATCAGACCAGAGCGTTTGGTTCAAAAAGTGAAGAGAGCAGTTCATTTGTAAAATTTGGGAAAATACCTTTAACAAAGTCAAACATTTCTAACACAAAAAAGGCAAGGGGCAGATGACCAATGTCCAGGATCAACACCTTCTCACAACCCACATAAATAACACTTTATCTCCGTCTTCAATTTCAGGAAGAGATCGAGGCCCAGATGAAGGCCGACAAGATCAAGCTAGCTCTGGAGAAGCTGAAGGAGGCTAAAGTGAAGAAGGTACAGTAAGCTAACGGAGCTCACAGAAAGAACACATGAAAGAGCCGCTGAGTTATGGGGACTTGGCCGCGGCTGCAGAAGAGTCCGACCGATCGCGTGGCTCCTTGTTCTGCCGCTTTCTGTCCCGGTCGTGAATCACAGTCGGGTCGAGCCACTTCCTGAAGGGCCCGTGCACTTTACTGATATGTGGATACTTCCTTATGTTCAAAGTGCTGGTCATGCTACAGGAGCTACACATACAGACGACATTGTTCCAGCAGAGCCCAGTGCAGAGGAGGGAGGTTTTTAAGAGCACGGTGCCTTTTCCAGATTCAGGGAAACATCTGCCTGAGAGGGGGTAAGGGGAGGCGGGTTTATCGGTATAGCACAGTTCACACACAAGGCAAGTCAAAATGTCAAAGGGTCCAAAAATGAAATATCTTGAAAATGGCTTGAATTTTCATTTTTCATTTTGATGAGGAAAAGGAGAAAAGAAAGATTGACTTGAAATTTGGTTTTTTGTTTTGATGCACAAAATGAAAAAACAACATATTTAATCATGGATTTTGTTTTATCGATTTGGCGCAACCGGAAGTTGGCTGTGTACCCGTATTTCAAGCCATTTAAAGTTATTTCGATTTTAATTTGAAAAAAAAAAAACCATTGAGCGAAAAATACACGGCCCAGACAGTCACATAAGGAATTCAAATCATAAATAATCTCAGGACGTGAGAAAGAGTGAAGTACAATGTTGTTTTTAGCCTGGATTTGAACATTGTCCTGTCTCACATTTGACTGATTTTATTTATTTATTTGTTTATTTGAGCAGACAAGTACTGCTCAAAAGGAGTGGGCTGAAGCAAAAGCTTATTGGTGCCCACCCCCAAAACACTACATGAAAATATACACACTTTACATAGAACAGCAACTATGCAAATGTACAAAAATAAACAAGAAAGAACAGACGATAACAGCAATATTAACGACAAATAATGGCAACTGTTTAAAGCAACATCACTCTTCAAGGTCAATAAAGATCATAATGACTATAATAAGCAACAAAACGAAGTTGATCAAATAGAAATCAAAAAACAAAACAAAACAAAAACAAACACCAATTTATTTTAGCCCGATTGCGCCCCCTAGTGACATATAATTTCCTCCTCTTTATATTTATCGAAAGTATTTTGTTTGTATTTAAATTTGAAGATTTCAGCCCTCCATGTTTAGTCCTGACTGTGGGCACCAGAATAGGGCACTAACATGTCACAGATGTACTTTGGGGCGGCACGGTAACGCAGATGCTGGGTTCGATTCCACCTCCAGGTCTTTCCGTGTGGAGTTTGCATGTTCTCCCTGTGTCTGCGCAGGTTTCCTCCTGGTGCTCCGGTTTCCCTGATCACTAAAAAAAACATGTAGAATAGTTCTGAATGTAATGAGTGAGAGAATGGAGCGCTTTGTGTGACCTTGGTCTCTAAAATGCGCTACATAAAAAAACATGTAGAATAGTTCTGAATGTTTTTTTTTATGTTTATTTTTTTATTTCAGACACTCACCAGACATGTACACACAGGACACACAACACAACATAACGCAATGACAAATCCCACCCACCAAGCAACCTCAAAACAAAATACACAAGCCCGCCGACAGATACATAACTAACAGGCAAGACAAAAAATATATATATATATATAACTAAATAAACAACAACAAAAAATAAGAAAAACAAACCAAAAAAAATAAAAACATAGAGACCAAACACACACAAGTCCCCGAGGCCTTCATCCACTTATCCAATAGTAGTTCTGAATGTAATGAGTGAGAGATGGAGCGCTTTGTGTGACCTTGGTCTGTAAAATGCGCTATATAAAAAAACATTACTCACTGATTTGGTCCCAGGCCGTTTTAAAGCCTATTCTCTGAGCCACAGGTTATAGACGGTTCTTTCTCAGTCTCCGCGGCTTCACTTTTCTCTGTTTTTGGGCAAAACCTCCTCGTCTATGAATAAAACAAACCATTTTTCCTCTTTTTTGTTGCGTCCATTGCACTTTTTTCACTCAGCTGACTTTCATCAAAAGGTCTCTTATATTAAAAATAGACTCTTTGAACAATTAGCCTCATAATAACGTCCTCATGATAAAACAGGGAGTAGCGTTGGTGGATTTATGGGTAATCCTGCGCAGGCTACTCAGGCCGTGGATCATCCAGGAGCCGCTTCATGCTTTTTGAAGTACATACCTTTCTCTTCTGATTCCAAAAGTCGGCCCTGGTTTGAACTAAGAGTGAATTAATTTGATAGACAAGGATCCAACCGGCCGAGAATTACACTTATTTTACTGTTAAGGGTGAATGATAGATGCTAGTAGCGTTAAGCTGTGCCCCACCTTCCCTGGCTGTAGGTTCTAAGGCGGTCGTCATAAATAGTACAGTGTGCATTTTATCTCCGTGCTGCGGTGATAAAATGTTCCGCTCGGGTAAAAACTGTGATCGCACACTTGTGATAACAACTCAACAAAGGCAGGTTTTTATGACACGCGACGCTCGACCTCTGAGGAGCCTTTTAGAGACGGATTTGGTTCCAGATGAGAGCGAGTGTGAAGCCAAACGGAGAACTCCAAACTGAGGCGGAGTGGAGGAAAGACAGAAGAGTTATGCAGGTTAATAAGAAGTGTCAATAATAATAATAATAATAATAGGTTTCATAGGGACCTTTCTAGATACTCAAGGTCGCCGTATATCACAAATGAAAAGTGCATTTGGTTAAAGTACAGTTAAAAGCAGCATGAACAGAGGATTGTGTGGTTTTAGTGTAAGTGAATAGTTTTGTCTAAACAGATGAGTTTTGTGTGTGCGTGTGTGTGTGTGTGTGTGTGTGTGTGTGTGTGTGTGTGTGTGTGTGTGTGTGTGTGTGTGTGTGTGTGTGTGTGTGTGTGTGTGTGTGTGTGTGTGTGTCGCTGTTATGGTCGCCTGGTCTTAGCCATCTGTAAACTGGTCCATGATCATTTCCTACATGTACGTCTGGGTCTGGTCCTAGTGGCTGCAGTTTCCTCGGTTGAATCCCCTCCGACCAATCAGAGAGCGGGGGAGGCGGGTGTTGTAGGTTGTGTCGGTGACGTCAAGAGTTTGCGCTGAAGTGGCTGCTTGTAGTTTGCCGGTGGCGGAGAATGTGAAAGTAAAGTAATCTGTTCTGGTTCGGCTCCAAATATCAAGAAACTGAAGCCGGAGCAAGAGCAATGTTTAGAAAATGTCATTGCTGCAAAGATGTTGTGGCTCTACTCCCCACGGGCTCCGGTAGTGGCAAAGGAGATGGCTAAAGCTAGGCTACATGCTAAATGCCTCACTCACTCGGGCGCGTTACATACATAGTTAACTCCTCCCACCTGTTTATGGAGCAAATCCAGACCTTAGCACGAAATGAAATGAGTAGGATGGTGTGGTAAGACCAGGGGGGAGAGTGTTCCAGAACTTTTGATGAGTGCAATGGTATTATCTGGAACAGTCTTCCTGAAGATGTGAGACAGGCCTCCTCTCTGACAATGTTTAAAACCAGGTTAAAGACAGTTCTGTTTAGCTGTGCATACAACTGAGGGATTTTATATTTGTATTTAATGTTCTGTGATTATTTATGATTTTAATGCTTTCTTGTTTTGTTCAGCACTTTGAATTGCCTTGTGTATGAATTGTGCTATATAAATAAACTTGCCTTGCCTATTAGTTTACACAGAAGGACAGATATTTAGTGCTCGCAGCTTGTAGTCAACACAGAACACACAAAAGCATCAAAGAATCGGAGGTTTGATTCTCCGGAGACCTCGGCCGCTGTCCCACAGATGAGCATAATCAAGCACACATCCGATCCAAACACTATTATCTGGACACGCCGATCATATTTTATTATTAAGTTTAGCCCTGATTGGACATTGATAGCAGATGTGACAGACCTCATACGTCGAGATGATTCTACAACTCTTTAACTAACTAACTAAGCTAAACGAATGTGCACGATGGTTACTAAAACTAAAACTAACAATATACAGTATCTTTAAAAAATGTTTAGAATTGTTTGAATACAAAATTGATGTGTGAGACACTAAAGCAGGAAGGTCAAATCGGTTCAGAGAGAGACCAGAGAGAGAGACCAGAGAGAGACCAGAGAGAGACCAGAGAGAGACCAGAGAGAGACCAGAGAGAGAGACCAGAGAGAGACCAGAGAGAGAGACCAGAGAGAGACCAGAGAGAGACCAGAGAGAGACACCAGAGAGAGACCAGAGAGAGACCAGAGAGAGACCAGAGAGAGACCAGAGAGAGACCAGAGAGAGACCAGAGAGAGACCAGAGAGAGACCAGAGAGAGACCCGAGAGAGACCCGAGAGAGAGACCAGAGAGAGACCAGAGAGAGACCAGAGAGAGACCAGAGAGAGACCAGAGAGAGACCAGAGAGAGACCAGAGAGAGAGACCAGAGAGAGACACCAGAGAGAGACCAGAGAGAGACCAGAGAGAGACCAGAGAGAGACCAGAGAGAGACCAGAGAGAGACCAGAGAGAGACCAGAGAGAGACCAGAGAGAGACCATAGAGAGACCATAGAGAGACCATAGAGAGACCATAGAGAGACCAGAGAGAGACCAGAGAGAGACCAGAGAGAGACCAGAGAGAGACCAGAGAGAGACCAGAGAGAGAGACCAGAGAGAGACCAGAGAGAGAGACCAGAGAGAGACCAGAGAGAGACCAGAGAGAGACCAGAGAGAGACCAGAGAGAGACCAGAGAGAGACCAGAGAGTGACCAGAGAGAGAGACCAGAGAGAGACCAGAGAGAGACCAGAGAGAGACCAGAGAGAGACCAGAGAGAGACCAGAGAGAGCCCAGAGAGAGACCAGAGAGAGACCAGAGAGAGACCAGAGAGAGACCATAGAGAGACCATAGAGAGACCATAGAGAGACCAGAGAGAGACCAGAGAGAGACCAGAGAGAGACCAGAGAGAGACCAGAGAGAGACCAGAGAGAGACCAGAGAGAGACCAAAGAGACCAAAGAGAGACCAGAGAGAGAGACCAGAGAGAGAGACCAGAGAGAGACCAGAGAGAGACCAGAGAGAGAGACCAAAGAGAGAGACCAAAGAGAGAGACCAAAGAGAGAGACCAGAGAGAGACCAGAGAGAGACCAGAGAGAGACCAGAGAGAGACCAGAGAGAGACCAGAGAGAGACCAGAGAGAGACCAGAGAGAGGCCAGAAGGAGAGACCAGAGAGAGACCAGAGAGAGACCAGAGAGAGACCAGAGAGAGAGACCAGAGAGAGGCCATAGAGAGACCAGAGAGAGACCAGAGAGAGACCAGAGAGAGACCAGAGAGAGACCAGAGAGAGACCAGAGAGAGACCAGAGAGAGAGACCAGAGAGAGAGACCAGAGAGAGACCAGAGAGAGACCAGAGAGAGACCAGAGAGAGACCAGAGAGTGACCAGAGAGAGAGACCAGAGAGAGAGACCAGAGAGAGAGACCAGAGAGAGACCATAGAGAGACCAGAGAGAGACCAGAGAGAGACCAGAGAGAGACCAGAGAGAGACCAGAGAGAGACCAGAGAGAGACCATAGAGAGACCATAGAGAGACCATAGAGAGACCAGAGAGAGACCAGAGAGAGACCAGAGAGAGACCAGAGAGAGACCAAAGAGAGACCAGAGAGAGAGACCAGAGAGAGAACGACCAGAGAGAGACCAGAGAGAGACCAGAGAGAGAGACCAAAGAGAGAGACCAAAGAGAGAGACCAAAGAGAGAGACCAGAGAGAGACCAGAGAGAGACCAGAGAGAGACCAGAGAGAGGCCAGAAGGAGAGACCAGAGAGAGACCAGAGAGAGACCAGAGAGAGACCAGAGAGAGAGACCAGAGAGAGGCCAGAAGGAGAGACCAGAGAGAGAGACCAAAGAGAGAGACCAGAGAGAGACCAAAGAGAGAGACCAGAGAGAGACCAGAGAGAGACCAGAGAGACAGAGACCAGAGAGAGACCAGAGAGAGGCCAGAAGGAGAGACCAGAGAGAGACCAGAGAGAGACCAGAGAGAGACCAGAGAGAGGCCAGAAGGAGAGACCAGAGAGAGAGACCAGAGAGAGACCAGAGAGAGACCAGAGAGAGAGACCAGAGAGAGACCAGAGAGAGACCAGAGAGAGACCAGAGAGAGAGACCAGAGAGAGACCAGAGAGAGACCAGAGAGAGACCAGAGAGAGAGACCAGAGAGAGAGACCAGAGAGAGAGACCAGAGAGAGAGACCAGAGAGAGAGACCAGAGAGAGAGAGCAGAGAGAGAGACCAGAGAGAGACCAGAGAGAGAGACCAGAGAGAGAGACCAGAGAGAGACCAGAGAGAGACCAGAGAGAGAGACCAGAGAGAGACCAGAGAGAGACCAGAGAGAGAGACCAGAGAGAGACCAGAGAGAGAGACCAGAGAGAGACCAGAGAGAGACCAGAGAGAGACCAGAGAGAGACCAGAGAGAGACCAGAGAGAGACCAGAGAGAGACCAGAGAGAGACCAGAGAGAGAGACCAGAGAGAGACCAGAGAGAGACCAGAGAGAGACCAGAGAGAGAGACCAGAGAGAGACCAGAGAGAGACCAGAGAGAGAGACCAGAGAGAGACCAGAGAGAGACCAGAGAGAGACCAGAGAGAGACCAGAGAGAGAGACCAGAGAGAGACCAGAGAGAGACCAGAGAGAGACCAGAGAGAGAGACCAGAGAGAGACCAGAGAGAGACCAGAGAGAGACCAGAGAGAGAGACCAGAGAGAGACCAGAGAGAGAGACCAGAGAGAGACCAGAGAGAGACCAGAGAGAGACCAGAGAGAGACCAGAGAGAGACCAGAGAGAGACCAGAGAGAGACCAGAGAGAGAGACCAGAGAGAGACCAGAGAGAGACCAGAGAGAGACCAGAGAGAGAGACCAGAGAGAGACCAGAGAGAGACCAGAGAGAGAGACCAGAGAGAGACCAGAGAGAGACCAGAGAGAGACCAGAGAGAGACCAGAGAGAGAGACCAGAGAGAGACCAGAGAGAGACCAGAGAGAGACCAGAGAGAGAGACCAGAGAGAGACCAGAGAGAGACCAGAGAGAGACCAGAGAGAGAGACCAGAGAGAGACCAGAGAGAGACCAGAGAGAGACCAGAGAGAGAGACCAGAGAGAGACCAGAGAGAGACCAGAGAGAGAGACCAGAGAGAGACCAGAGAGAGACCAGAGAGAGACCAGAGAGAGACCAGAGAGAGACCAGAGAGAGACCAGAGAGAGACCAGAGAGAGACCAGAGAGAGACCAGAGAGAGACCAGAGAGAGACCAAAGAGAGACCAGAGAGAGAGACCAGAGAGAGAACGACCAGAGAGAGACCAGAGAGAGACCAGAGAGAGAGACCAGAGAGAGAGACCAGAGAGAGAGACCAGAGAGAGAGACCAGAGAGAGAGACCAGAGAGAGACCAGAGAGAGACCAGAGAGAGACCAGAGAGAGACCAGAGAGAGAGACCAGAGAGAGACCAGAGAGAGACCAGAGAGAGACCAGAGAGAGAGACCAGAGAGAGAGACCAGAGAGAGAGACCAGAGAGAGAGACCAGAGAGAGAGAGACCAGAGAGAGACCAGAGAGAGAGACCAGAGAGAGAGACCAGAGAGAGACCAGAGAGAGACCAGAGAGAGACCAGAGAGAGAGACCAGAGAGAGACCAGAGAGAGACCAGAGAGAGAGACCAGAGAGAGACCAGAGAGAGAGACCAGAGAGAGACCAGAGAGAGACCAGAGAGAGACCAGAGAGAGAGACCAGAGAGAGACCAGAGAGAGACCAGAGAGAGACCAGAGAGAGAGACCAGAGAGAGACCAGAGAGAGACCAGAGAGAGAGAGACCAGAGAGAGACCAGAGAGAGACCAGAGAGAGACCAGAGAGAGACCAGAGAGAGAGACCAGAGAGAGACCGAGAGAGAGACCAGAGAGAGACCAGAGAGAGACCAGAGAGAGACAAGAGAGAGACCAGAGAGAGAGACCAGAGAGAGACCAGAGAGAGACCAGAGAGAGAGACCAGAGAGAGACCAGAGAGAGACCCGAGAGAGAGACCAGAGAGAGACCAGAGAGAGACCAGAGAGAGACCAGAGAGAGACCAGAGAGAGAGACCAGAGAGAGAGACCAGAGAGAGACCAGAGAGAGAGACCAGAGAGAGAGACCAGAGAGAGACCAGAGAGAGACATATGGCCCGGTGTGGCTACAGGTTTTCATTCCAACAAAGCCAGAGAATACAAGACTCCAATTTCTTTTAGACTGTCCAGTCAGAACCGGGAGACTTGAGGAAATTGGTGGAGTCTGGTGTGCTCCGTTCTGTGCTTGGTTGGAATGAAATCCTGCAGCCACACCGCCCTTTTGAGGACTGGGTTGAAAATTGATCAAAAATCAAAATTATTGCAAACTTTTAGACCAGAATTAAGACAAAAACACATACATGCAGCAAAAGTGAGTTTGAGGCTATAGATCTAAGCTGCGAATAACAAGCCATTTACTAAAACCTAGACTCAGCCATGATAAACACACACACACACACACAGCACACACACATACGCATACGGACACACACTCACACTTATGCATACGGACACACACAACCGCATTGGAGAAAGATATTTTTTTCTGTATGTTCATCATTTTTTTCATACTCCGGGGAGAATTGCTTGACTGTGCTAATGGGGATTCACAAACAATAAATACTACTGCATATTCAGATACGTATTTCATCACTACTAATAATTCTAAACTATCTCTTTGACAATGATAAATTTACTACAAATATTGTCTCACCAAACTGAATTGTTGCACCTCAATTTAGTATTCACTTTACTTTTATATTGGACCTTCAGTTAAGCAGTTAATTCAGCGGTTTAGCATTAGCATTTATCATTATTCTTGTCGTTGTGCACCTGTTTGACGGCTCGCTCTGAATGTTGCAGCTGGTGGTGAAGGTGTTGATGAACGACGGCAGCTCCAAGACCCTGATGGTGGACGAGAGGCAGAACGCTCGGGAAGTCCTGGAGAACATGTTCGAGAAGACCCACTGTGACTGCAACGTGGACTGGAGCCTGTGCGAGACCAACCACGAGCTGAACCTGGGTCAGTCTCACACACCGTCATCACATCAGGCTCACCTCCATTATCTCTGTCAGACTCAGTGATTATGACAAGAGAATGCACCATGTCAAGCTATGCTACATTTTGTATTTTTGTACAGCGCTACATCACAACAGCGGTCGTGTCTGAGGGATGTACAAAGTTGTGGATCCACCAACAACAGATCAAAGAATCAAACAGTTCTAACACAGGAAATAAGGCACATACGAGACATTGGTCCACGGTCGACACTAGATCATACGGAATCGGGACGGAAGCAGAAATAACAATCCTACTTTCGAATTCGTTTTATACTAACAAGTCCTTAAAGCTGCATTACCTGACTTTATTTTTGTATTCATTACAAAAATGCAATCCATATCCATGCAATGCATTGGGATATACGTCCTTCTGAAGAAAAAGTAGCGCAGATTTGTGCTGGCGTGTCATTTTATTCTAGAGAGAGAGAATGCGTTTCGGGACCAGATTGTGACCATTCACAGTGGACCACTGGCCCCCACTTTCTTGAGAAAAGCTACAGGTCTCTTATTAGCACAGACAGCTGAGGTAAACAAGCGGCGGAGGCTAACCTGAAACTTATGGATTGCACATTCGCACGTGGATGGCGTGACCATAGAATGATAGAACCGGGAAGCGCCGAGAGGACGAGACTTTCTTTTGGACGGCTGTTTCGAGTAAGCGCTGTGACACGCCAGCACAAATCTGCGCTACTTTTTCTTCAAAAGGACGTACTGTATATCCCAATGCACTACATGGATATGGATTGAATTTTTGTAATGAATACAATAAAGTCAGTTTGTGCAGCTTTAAGTGGTGACTGGTTAAGTTTGAGGGGTCTGAGTACGATGGTTAAGGTCAGGGTTAAGGGAGGGTTGGGGTTATGTGGTGGCTAAGTTTAGACATCTATTAGTTTATGTACTATAGTATGGTTAAATATTATGGTTATATTTGCTTCTGTCCCGATTCCGTACATGATCTAGTGCTGACCATTGGTCCATAGGAAGTGGGAAGACCAAGGTCCATAAATGTTGGTAAATGTGCATAAATGTCCAGGATCATCACTCCCCTGTTTATCAAGATACACTTTTGTATCAATACGTAGAGCATACTTTTATAACAGACAATTTGACTTTGACAAACTAACTACTCACTAATAATTCTTTGCTATTTTCTCTCTTCATTGTGGTAAAACTGTCTGGCCAACATGCTAAAACAAGCAGATTGGGTCAAGGATCGATGAGTCTGGTGCTGGTTTGTGATGTTGTAATGAACTGCAGGAGAATATCTCACTCTCAGAGGATAAACTGCACTTTTATAGTCTCAGAGGCAGCAGCGGCACACTGGACCCACAAAAACATTGAT